AAAAAAAAAAAAAAAAAAAGCACTGAGGGGAGTTAGGTTAAACATTGGCAGGTCCTGCCTTGTGAAAGCTGTTCCTTTTACTTTTGGGACAAACTCTTTGCACTGAACACAAATCTAAGAGAATCCTTGTCAAGAGACTTGCCACAGAGACTATTCACTCAGTCACTGTCCAAACACAATTCTGACTAAGAATCTCAAAAAAAATTAAAATGTGAAAAAAAAAATAAAATTATACTGCCTGTATCTTTTATGGAGACCAGAAAGTAGTAAAAACTTAAGCTAAATAAAGAGAGTTAGGGAATCCAAGAAGACTTCACTTAATGTGCTCATTTAAAATATCACAAAATTATATCTGAATGAAATGTATGCTGCCTCGAATTTAGTCCCACAATTTTACAACAAAAATGTTTTCTTTCTCTTTGCCTGCCACAGCTAGTCTTTTGAAATGCTGTGTTTCTTCTTACTCTAGCGTTCACATAGCACAACTCATGACCTCGGCAACAAGCCAAGCTTTTTTTGCTTACTCTGTGTTGCTAAGGCTTCCAGTTTTCTGTCTCCCACAAGACAGATAAATTGACCATTTTAATTTTTGCAATTTCTGAGTGCTATACTAGGAAAAAACCTGTGGTTTTAGCTGTTAGCTGTATTTAAGCATGCAAAATTCATACACATATAAAACAAATACATTAAATATTAAATACATTTCCTAGTCTTAAAACATTACTTGATAAAAGAAAATCTATCAGTCTGCTCTGTAAAAAGCTACTATTTGTATGCTTTGATTTTATATTATACATTTTATTAACATACAGAAGAAGTCACACTACAATCTCTTTCAACTTAGGATTTCTAAGTATTGGTTTAAAAATGCAACAGAGCACAGTGTTTCACGTACAGTAATCAACACCCTTGTGCTGTGTTAATTAAAGAAAAATTGTAAAGCTCATGTGCTTTGCAGCAGTCTGTACAGTGGATCTTTCTTGCTTTTCCTGTCTTGCTGTTTAGTGTTTAAAACTCAGAAGTTGCAACTTAGATTTGCACTCCACAGGAGAATTTTCCTTTCTGTTTTTTCAAATGACAGCAGAATCTTTCTGCCCTTCAAAGCAGAGCAGAATTTCTTGCAATAAGGATGACATATACTTGAGGGAAACATAGTAGATAAAAGATACAATAGAGTCATATTTTCTTATATATTTGTGTCTCAGGTATGACTCACAATCAAAATGGAAGTTTTTTCTTCTGTGTTGGTGCCCTTATTTTCTGTTGCTTCTTCAAACATAGACATTAAAAGTCTAATGTTTGGAGAAGTTTATTATACTTATCTTGAGCCTACTTCTTAAATGAAAATTGAATAAAAGTAATCACTGCCTATGTTCAGATTTTGATATTGCATAGAAAGTTGTACATTTTCCATGAAAAAAACATGCCTAGGGAAACTTGTGAACACCAGCTAGAAAAAAGGAATTAATTCATGTCATGTTTAAGTTGCATGTGTACTTAAGTGTTTTGCTAAATAAGACAATCTGTTAACAAAACCAAATATACAATGAGAAGGAAGTGAACTTCAAGCATATAAGGAACTGGCGGCATAATGAAGTTTCTGTACTTTTCTCATTAGGGCTTTGACTATATTGCACTTACTCTCAGAAAATACATAACATTAAATTAAAAATCCACACAATTACATTTTAAATATTTTCACTCTGTAATTTTAGCATTCATCCTTTTACATTTCAGAAAATATTTCCTTCTCTATTCAAAACAGATTTGTTTTAAACAACACATGCTTTTTAAGTGTCAATAACATTTTTTGGAAGTAGAAGGACATCTGATTTTGTCACTCCTGAAGCACCTGAGATTAGTTTCCTAAAATTATAGAAAACTTAAAAGAATCTTAGAAATTAAAAGATTTGCAAGTTTGAGATATTTCTTTAAAAAATAGAGCAGCAATGCAATGACAAAGTGAAGATTTTGAGTTCTTTAAAAAAAAATCATTTAAAATCTTTGAGAAAATTCCCTTTATTTTAGCTATCCTTCCATCCCTCATCATTTTACCTCACATTTTGCTCCTCTAAACTCCTTGCAATAGGGACTAGAGTGTTTTAAATTGTATGGTGAACGTGTCCATGAATGCAGAGGTAACATTACAAAAGTTTTAGATATCATTGTAAAATTATCTACAATATATGCAAGGGGTCTGAGCTTCTATTACAGAGATGGTAATATTAGCACTTAGGATGAAAATCTGTCTACCTTATGAAAGTAGACTCACTGGAACTGCTTCCATGAGTTAGAGAAGCACTTCTAGTCACAAATTTTATTCTCACACTCTCCATATGTTTGTTAAAATGTCTTGATTTCTCCCCAGTGTCTGCATGACAAGGCTCTGGCAGCTTTGCTCCAAGGGTGAGTCTGAGAGTCTGCAGCTGCCCCACTTCCCTTGTTCCAACACAAGCTGCTGGTGCATATGGCCTGGACCACCCATATTCCTGGGACATTAGAAAAGTAATTAGGTATAAAAGTGTCAGGACATTTGAAAAAAATGCCTTTGGTCAAGCAGGATTTGGACAGAAAAACATAGCAAAGAATAATAAAATAAGCTTAGTTGACTCCTGAGTTATATAAAGCATCCAGCAACAAAAACAGTAGATGCCCTGACATAGGCTCAGGCAAGTTTAATATCGGGGTGAGTTATATGCAGCATAATAATGAGAAAGAAAAAAAATATCCTGAAACATAAAATATAGTTACAATATTTTAAAAATGGAAACAACTCTGAAGCACTTCTGAAATCAAAGATAAAAGGACATACAAAGTACACAGAGAAATATCCTCTGCTTCTCCACTTTCTTTTGCAACAACTGTCATGCATTAAATTTTCTGTTGTAATTATCTAAGGCCCCATTCTCTCTACTGGCTGAATTGCTGCTGTGTGTGTAGTTCCTATTTGAAGTTGAGGATGCTTTGTAATCACTGGGTACTCCAGAGTAGAGGTTATATGAATGTATAAACACTCAGCTCCATTTTAATTTCTTATGTGTTAATGATCTTCAGATCCTGACTATTTACCAATATTTTAATAATAAGTTTCTAAATAGGGAAAAAAACCAACCCTGCCTAGATAAAAGTGGCATTTTGACTTTTCAAATAATCTAGAGGAATTTTTTTTCACTCTTGGTGGGATTCTGAATCTGCAGTGACTTGAATCCATAGCCTGATTTTACTTTTTGGTCTGTAAGAAAATAAGAACAGTAGGACTGAGGAATTAATTGCATTTGATTTCTAAAGGAAAGGATGTGACAAATCCTACACATTCCCAAGGCAGGGAAAAGAAAAAGTTAAAGTATATTAAAGTGGGCTCCAAATTCCAGTTTGCTTAGGAGAATGGAGAAAGAGAGGATTTAATCTGGAGACTTAGAAACTTAACACTGCATAAAAACAGGAAATACTAAAACAGAGTCATTGTGATCAATAGCAGATGAGCCAGCACCTGGAGTCCCAATGCAAATCAGCTGCAATTAAAAGTACTCAGCAATGTTGAAAATTAGGCTTGATATTTTTTCAGGATATTTAGCTACAAAGGGACCCCTGTTATCTGGACTGTCTCAAGAAACACTGGCAATCATAGTTTGTAAGCTATGATCTGGTCTAACCACAAATGGCGTTAGGTATAGAAATTAAATTTTATAGCGTGTTTTATGCAAGGGGATTTCTACACTGCAAGAGAAAAATGTCCCTACAGTTCCTCAAAAAGGAACTGACCCCCCTTTATATTAGATCAGGTATTAGAAACAGTACAGCTACATTTGCATAAGAACTTACCCATTTTCCGGGAGGATTTTACTATGTGAATCTGAACTTTGTTCTGAGACATTTGTATTTTTAATGATAAAATGAATTTGCATGGTAGGAATTGCATTCTTCTCTTCTAGTGTTCAATCCATGACACTGGTGCCTGACTGTAGCTAATCTGTGCAGAAATCAGAACATTTTAGAGAATAAATTGAGTCATTTAATAGTAAATAGCTCAGACATAGATGGCAGGAGACACCTCTTAAGAGCTGTCCAAGGAGTCACTTCAGAGTCAATCTGTTTGGTTTGGAGCATGAACAGGAAGTAACATCTGTATATCTCTGGAACACAAAAATACATTACAGATGCTGACCCTGAAGGTTGCAAAGAGATCTGTGAAATCTCAGAAGTTGGAAACACATACACACAAAAAAAATGTTATTAGTGAGAGACAGTACACTCATTGCAGTCTGCAGTAGAAAGGCAGAGACTTTCAGCATGAGAATATAAATAATGAAGCGTTGTTCTTTGTCTCTAGCAAGTGAAGAACGTCACCAACTGGTACAGTCAATAATAATTTTCTCACCTACAGAAACCATGATGAAATAATAATAAATGATGTTCTGCAAATGTCTGCAATGTTCTGCAAATGGCCTTATGATATAAAGTAAATGAAAAAGAATAAAAATGTAAAAATTACTTGAAAAAAAATAGCTGTTACAGAGGATTAAGAAGTTTCCTTTTAAATTGTTTCAAAATGGAAATGATAATATGCTATAGAAGAGATGCTGGCCAAAGTCTTCCCTTTCTCCTTAGCAATCCAAGATACAAGAGTCATTTATTGACACTACAGGAGAAATAGGCTTTTGGAGGGTACGCACTCTCCTGTGGTCTGTGTGTTGCACAGTATTTTTTTTGCCAGCGTCTGTTTCCAGGAGTTCAAATATGATAGCTCCAACCATATCTTCCATAAAAGTGAGGAAGTTTAGTGTAGAAGATGAAATTTTTCAGAAATACGTCAATATCCTGGATGGCTATCCCTGACATTTTTTATCAGGGAATAAATCAGGAAGTCTAATAAAACTAATGATAATTGACTCCTTTATGTGTCTGTTAGATACAAAAATAATAGTTAAAAATTTCATATAGATTAAGCTTCCTGTATAGACATTATTTGAAGGGGTTTCTTTTCAGAAACATGAAAATTTCATCATTTTTTAACCTAATGTCTTAACGACATTCCTTTTTTTTATGAATCTCCCAATGACATTCCTTGTCTTTCAAGTCTTCTCTGTTTTTCTGAAATCTGTAATTGTTAACAAAATGCTTCAATGTAGACATTGATTTTCATTTATAAAAAATAGTTTTTCTGTGATTTAATGTCACTTTAGTCATATAAAATTATTATAAATTAACTTTGAAGTGATAGCAGCATTGTCATGTAGCAAAAGAAATCTTTATTATATTCTTTAGTATTTCATTAGCAAGCACATTAAAGTGATGTCTCTTTTAAGTAAATAAAAATGCAAAAAGAAATTATATCCTTGAGATCACACCTATGAGACCATCAGTCTTTGCTGCAAGAAATTCAAGTTCTGGCATAAACCCATTTTTGGTTTAGGCACATAACTATTTTATTGTCTTAAATAGGAGTACTCTGGTCAACAAAAATTTGAAATCTGTGGATTTTCACAAAGCTGTGGAAAGTACTTTTCACCAGATAACTGCATCTGCTGAGAAAAATGCAAATTTAAGTGTTTTCATAAGTAGACAGTATTGGAAACTGCTTTCATTGTTCCATTTTTTGTGTCTATTCAGCTTGTGAGATTTCAGGAATTTGCAAAATTTGAACTCCAGCCGCACTCCTCCAGCATTATCATTACAGTGTCCACATCTGGGTTCCAGACACTATCTATATGGGCTGATTTTTTCAGGATGATACTCCCTCTCTGCCTACAATTAGGCTGTGCTGTTCACGGTCTAATTGTAGATAACTTATTAACCATGTGGAATAAAGTGATAACTTTTTTTTCCAGTGAAATTCACTTTATTGCTATGAAGAGATATTCTGCTATGATTAGCAAAATGAATTTAACAAAATCAACATTTAATTTTCCTTCAAATTAGAGCATTTAGGATCAGAACATTGCCCAGTTTCCTGGTGCAGAAGCTGTAAAAATCACCAAGCATCTTTTGCAGTCCTGAAACAGGAATTTACCAAAGGTTTCATCTCCTTATTGTCTTGAATATGGGGGTTGTTCATACACTTTTGAGTGTGACAGCATCATTTCAAATGTCTGGTGCCATAGCTGTAGCCATAAAGCCCTTAATGATATGGCAGTAATTTTAAATTATTTTGTCTTAACAGGCAGTATTTTGTTCTTCCAACAAAACAAACAAAAACAAAGAAACAACAACCCCCCTAAAAAAAAACCAAAAAAAAAAACTGTGAAAAGTTCTTCAACCCCAAATTTTGGGGGGATTTGTAAATGTGTTTTACTGGTGGAAGTATTTCACACCACACTACCTTTCTTCAGTTTCTTTGTGTCTCAAGAGATAGGAAAACAGATTTTTTTTTTCCTTTACTCTTAATTTTTCTGGATTTTTATTAGGGCCTGAGAGCCCTCGGCTGCCATGGAAAAACATTAGAACTTTCTCTATCTCAATGCAAAAAATTCAGTGACAACAGGGTTCAGAAAGAAAAAACTTCACCTTTTTCTTGGTGTTCCCTGGAAGCCTCTCTAGTTCATTAAATTAACCATATCCAAAACTGATCTTGTTTTGTTCTGCATGTCATCCTCCATTCTCCATAACACCATTCGACATCAAAAATTCTCCCCTTTTATTCCCACAACTCCATTTGCCTGAGATCTGTTAATTGTGGCATGAAAACTGTGAATAGGGGGTAGTTTTTTGCTGTTTACTTCCATGCAAATCTAGTGGGCATGAAATCAACTCAGTTTGAAAATTCAGAATGAAGAGGAAATGGCTGTTTCTAAAATGTATGCTTAAACTGTGAAATTCCTTGTCCTTATCACAGTTTGCTTGAAATCTACCAAAATCCTTATGGAGATTTGACAAACCCCATATGATTACAGAGATTTACTTTGTATTTGTATTTTACTTTGTATTTCAAAACAGTATGAGAAATAAACACTAGTAGGTAACTTTACAGTAATAGAAAAAACCTCTATATTCAATTGACATCCAAATAAGAGAATTTTGTTTTTGTAACTGAGAATTGTTCCTAACTATATATAACAGAAATGCTTAAATCATGTATTTTTAATGGTATCATTTCATGCCCATAAACAGTTGCAGATCATAAGGTTGCAGGTACAGCCAATGCCATCACATAATCCCAGTCTTCAGCTTCTACTAATTTTTTCCATTATAAATCTTCAACATCCATTATTTTATAGCCATATATTGTAAAAATGAGTCAGTTGTACCATAAGAGCTGCGTCTGGATCAGATCTTGTTGCCCAGCATACACACCAGGCCATTTCTTCTCTAGGAATAATCCTGACTTTGTCTTTCATGAATGTTCTGTGTAAAGTTCCATGTTTTTAATAATGGCCAAGTATGTACATCTTGTGTACCTCATGGAAAGTCATGTGGTGCCAGTGCTGCTTCTCTCAGAGGAGAACATTCACTTCTGTGTTGTGCCATGCTCATAGCTAAGAAGCTATTTCAGGTGTCTCATTACACAGAGGAAGTTCAAAAAAAAGACCATTAAAAAGAAGTGTTTCTGCTTTCCTTGTGTGCCAAAAGAATTTGAACTTTTTGAGGAAGAAAGCAGCAGGGAGCACACATAGGAGTTGCAGGAGCCCTGTTTTCATGGTTCTAGGGAAGGCAGGAGAAAGGAGATACAGAGTAACTCAAAACCAAATGACAAGTTCTTTTTTGTAAATTGAATCTAAGGGTATGATTTTATGGGAAATTCGCGGAGAGCAATCCCCGTAATCGCACTCTGTTCCCAGGCATTGCAACTGTATGTAAACACTTATGAGATCCCATATTTTGAAAATAGGATCCTTGTTCATTCTTAACTCAGATGATGCTCACTTAATAAACAGCAATTTAGTATTTGACCTTTCCATTGATTGTGTGTGTCCTCAGGCCTTATTTATACAGAATTTAAATTGTGCAATTAAGTTAGAAAATTACATTTTCTTCACATGGCATTTGACTTTTTGTAGTGTCTAAATGTCTTGAAAACATAATTTACACATTTTACACATAATTTTCACAACCTCTTCCATTATTTTCTCTATAGATACAGAACCAAGGATACAGAGATGAAGAGAGCAAACAGAGCTCCATCTCTTTTGGTTACATATATAATTTGAGTACTATTTGCAAAACCATGACTTAAAGTTAAGAGTAAATTCAGAACCTAATTTTGAAGCATATTTTAAATAAGCATGTAGACAAGCTATGCTAGTAAAAACAAGATAAACATATCTAACAGGCATTGAAATCTTGGCTGAGCTTATGTTACATACCCTAGCTAAGAATGTAGTGATTAAGTCATCACATCTGAGTCCTAATTCTGAAAAGAGTGCAGTTTCTCTTGCACATGGATGAAAAACATTTAGTTGTTGGGTGTAGAATGTTTCTGTATTACAGGTGAAAAATAGCCCATAAATCAAATATTGAAATAGGAAGGTGGAGAAGCCAGTTAATATAAATTCTGAATTTTCCACTTTAACCAATCCTAGGTTCAAACACTGACACTCTAATTTTTTGTAAATAAAACAATGACCCAAGGCCCAAGAAGAGCTGCCTTGATATAGCTATACCAATAGACAAAAAGACCAAAATGAAGATACAGACAAAAATCTTAAACGTACAGTCTATGAAACAGATTTCAGATCTGATAAGTTTCTTTGTATCTATTTAAGTAAGGCTTTTGAAATCACACAGAAGGGCACAATATTTTGCTATAACAAAAATAATATTTTCTAGTGATCAACCCTCTGTTAATTGTGCGAGTTCCTATTTAACATAAGGAAAAATTAGATGTGTGTTAGTGGCAATAGTCTGATTACTGCAGAGGTAATGTTCTCAGGATGATAAACATGTAACATTTGTGCATAATAAATGTGTGCATTTTTGTGTCTCTGTGTGTGTACACATTTTATTTATCCATGAGGTGCTTAATCTTTTTAACTCAGGACTAATTCTTGAAAACTTTGAAAAGCTTCATGCAACCAGTGGTTTTTATTCAATTTACTATGTGTACTTTCTTGTTTTCCCTGGAGAGGTAGAATTGCTCTTCCAATAAATGACAAATTACTCTGGCCTTAGGCCAAGATTAGCAGGTCTGGAAGTTAGCTCAGTGACACATTTAAGGCATCTAACCATGGTTTTAGGCTGGACATGACAGAAGAGGAGAGATTCTGACTAAACCTCTGTAGAGCTGCAGGCTGCCCTCTGATACTTGTGTCATAGGGCTCTTGGGTGAAGAAATGTGATTTTAGGCATCTCTTTTCAAGAGGTTTCCAGAGTTTCAATAAAAGATCTAACTTCTCTTTGTCGGCCTAGAAGTGATGGTTTTCAGGCTTGAAAAAGATTCAGGCTGAAAGGTAAAAAAAGTTTCAGAGTGCAGAGGAGAAAAGTGTTTTTTAAGAATCTATGTGGCATTTCACAGGAGTTCCATTGTTATTTTCGAAGACTATCTGCTTTACAGAATATATGAAAAAGCTAATATCTGAGTTAGAAAGGCGCTGGAATACGAGTCAGTAGAATCTGCAAATGTTTATTCTCTCTAAAAACTAGGTTAGAAATTGTAGTCAACCAATATCACATGGCCTGAACTCCACAGACCAAATCAGAACCCAGAACTCTTGAGTGGCAGGCCTGAGGCTCTTACCTGTTCCCTTCCAAAAAAATGTGATTTGTACAGATACAGTTTTCTGTTCATTTAAAAGAGAAGGAAAAAGAAAAAGAAAAAGAAAAAGAAAAAGAAAAAGAAAAAGAAAAAGAAAAAGAAAAAGAAAAAGAAAAAGAAAAAGAAAAAGAAAAAGAAAAAGAAAAAGAAAGAAAAAGAGAAAAATTTATTATGCACAAAAATGGACATTTGAAGAGAGCAGTAGAATGAATGTATTTCAGCCTGATTCTCTAAGCACAACATTTTACGTTCTGACTTGTGCTCAATTTAAAGAACCCAAACTCAACATGTTTTAATATATATAGTGGAACTTACATAAATGTCAGTCTAATGAATTATAAGCAATCAAAAATAGCCCCTTAATGCATCTCTTCTTTTTCCAGTGACACTCCCAGTCAACATCGGAATGACTTCACTACTAATGAAGGGTACCTAGAGAATTGAAGTGTCTGAAGTAGATCAAAGGATTGATGTACATGCATTGTAATTGAGTTCTGCAAGGGCAGATTACCTGGAACACTGCCATGTCTCATACTGCCCTCAGATGAAGCTGTGAAAACAGTGGCATTTTACTGCCACAGACTGACTTCTGCCAACATAGTGAATTGCCCAAAGGTATGTATAAGAAATAGGGTTATAGTTCTGCGATTGCAAAGAATTACTCAGTATTTCATCCAGAAATTTGACCTGCTGGCATCATTCAGCTGCTTTTCCATGAGTTTTAAGATTTGAGACTTGGCACTTGGGAGTATTTGGCATTCTTCTAATAGTTGTAGTTACACTATAGGGGTGTCCATGCTGTATCAGGTAAAAGTTTTTCTCTACAGGGGTTGATGTCTAAAGAAGGGTGAAGAGAGAAAAGCTTTCATTTTTATACCACTTCCTGCAAATACTCTCCCAGGTTCTGGTGGTTGGGGTGCTTTGAAAGGATTGCAGCTTTGTTTTAATTACTCTTGATATTTTTGTGCTTTTTTTTTTTCCCCAGTGCTTCTTCTGAACCCAGGTAAAGCATAAACTGAGGCATTAGAACTTAATACCTGTGTCTTTACATGGCAAGGCAGTGGCTACTTTGAAATAGAAGAAGTGCCTAAAAGCTGAAGCACTCAGGTTTGAAATTAAATTATTTAGATTAAGATTCAACTGTAGTGAAAGTTAGTTCCTCTTTACCATGAACTTCTATGACAGCATTTTTGCTTCTTGTATTTTTTGTATTATGTATTTTTGACTAAAGCCTTGAATCTCAGTTATTTTTTCTGTATGTGAATGTGTGTTCCCTTTTGAAATTATTGCTTTTATGAAAGCCTATACCCCTTCCCTGTACTATCTGACTTAATAGCTCTGGCTTTTGTGCATTTAATTACTTATGTGGTTTTAATATTATTTTATCAGCAAAACAAAATGCTTGCTTCATTTTGAAAATAAGTATGCAAATGCAATTTTTAAAATGCTGATTTAATTTTTTGTTTAAATTTCATGGGAAAAGTTATAATGTTGCTTCTGTCACTATCACATAGCAATGAACAAGCTTATTACTAGGTTTAGAAATGTTCATCTTAAACTATCCTTTAAAATTTTGCCCCTCTGAACCAGTTTTCCTCTCTTTTTCCCCCACTGAAATGCCCATATCTCATTTCCTTCCACAATCACTCTGCAGCCATCACTTGTCCCTGCCTTCCTCCTCACCAACTCCCAACTCCATAGCCCTTGACTATTCTTTCAGTCCTCCACACATCCTCCCATTCCCATTCAGTGGCTGAACACAGCCTCCTGCACGACTAATGTGAGATTATTTGGCTGACTAATTAGCCAGCCATAAATTTAAATATTCTCTGACCAAGTTGTTTGCCTTCCAAATGTACATAAGTTTCTCAGCATCTAGGCCAAAACTCCCTGGCTGTGCTTCAGATCTGGAAGGCCACTCTCTATCTTATACTAGCCCTTGGTTTATATCTTACAGATACCTACTGTACACCATTATTTATTATACACATGGGTCTGAGTCCCCTGTATCCTTTGGGTTTAGATAGATATTAGCTATTTTTCCACGATGACAGCGGTAACAGAAGTTGTGCACAGAGGTCATCCCAAAGTAGTTGGAGTTATGTAGTGCTGCAATCCTGTCTGCCGTGCTTGCCCGATACATTACATACCAACATAGGAAAACAAAACAAAACAAACACCATAAAATGTCAGTAAATACATTTAGGCTGGCAACCAGGAGATTTTTTGGTTATCACAGCAGTGAATTACGGAACAGCTTTCTGGGAAGGGAGTTAGGGCAAACTGTTATGGGATGTTAGCATGGCTCTTGGTAAGGAAATGGACTGGGTCGTATTTTGCAGTTCCTGCAAGTGGGAATAGTGAGTCAACTCATTGACCTAGTAATCCCCTCCCAACGCTTTGTTCCTAGATGATATCTTTTCTTTAAACAGTTTTCTTTAAACAATTATAAAGCTGATCTCTTAAATGCTCATACCCTACTATTTTCAGAAAAGAACATTGAGACTCCTCCGTATAAACCTACCCATAAGTTTACAAGTCTTTGTTTGACTTGAATCCAGCTTGCAGCTCCATAAAATGAGATGGGTACACCTGTGGATGTTAAAACTAATGGGTCTTACAAATCCTTTGGCAATCTGTAGTGTAAATTGAGGGTATCCAGCTGCTAAGTAAAGAAATATTTTCCACTCAGAACTGTTTAAAAATGATCAGGAGATTAAAGTTGGGATGAACCTGTTCCAAAGGATATATGTTAATGTGTCCTGCAACATCTGGTATCTTATTTTTAAGAAAAATAATTTAAAGATTAATTTAGAAATATTAATATATAATATTAAAATGAAAAATAGATGTACATTGAGAATATTTTGAATGTGCTATGAAGGTTACTCTAAAATTAGAACAGTTTATCACTTTAATCCTATATTCTAAGGCAAATCAATTGTCTTTCATCAAATTCCAGTGATTTCAGCAGAGGTGCTGTGAGTCTCCATGTCAGTTCTGTATACCTAGGGCTCATACAAGTCATTTTGCAAATGCTGATTGTATAAAATTTTCAGCAGTTCTGTCCTGAGTCTTATTCAGGGAATGAGCCTGATTCAAGGGTAATTCTTATTTCATAGGAAAAAAATGAAGATACTGTGGGAAATATTCTATACATTAAGAAAATACAGCAAGAACTGAAAATAAATCTCTGGTTAAATAAATTGGCCTTTTAAATAGCTAAGTTCTGAAGATACAATAGAATGAAAAATTAATTCTGTCATTCAGTCCTCCAAAGGGAATAGGATCCCTGTTTTTTCAGACTTTTCTAAATGTATCTGATACCAGTTACTAAGTCAGCAACTTCTTTTTTTAAAAAATAAGAATATTACTCTACTTAATAATATTATGATCTATTTATTAATCTATTCCAGATCTTAATATTGAGCATATAAATGGACTTGGAATAAGCAAAGAACATGTACATTCCTCTATATACCAGGAGAACTATCATGAGATAGTGTGCTAACTTTTTGCTCCACAAGCCCAGGCCCCAGCTTTATCTTGTGTCCTTGTCCCTTATAGATTCTCATGAGACAGAGAAACATGTCTGTTTAGTACAAGTGAAATCCTCATTTCTCTTTCTACCACCCCACTCCAGTGATTTTAATCAAATGTCTTTAATGGGTTTTAACCATGTTCCTCTTGATTTTTGGTCCTGAATGAACAAGGTAATTAAAGTATGTGCATAATGTATTCTTGACTGTTCCCGTTGAGGTCAGTGGAGAAATCAATAGCTTGCATAGCTGCTTATGCACCTTCAAGACTCTGTGTGCCATGTTTTTCTCAAATGCAACTCCCAGCATAAATGGCAATGAGTATCAGTTCCTGAAAAATGGTCTTGTGAGCTGAAACTAAGCAGCTGTGCTTCAGAGCTAAAACCCATTTACACATTCAAAAAGTCTTGGTGTGAGACACTCATCTGTAACAGAGAACTGAGTTTAAAAAGTGATACAAGTGCATCCTAATAGCACTAGCACATTAGAAATAGCAATGCAATAGCACAAATACTAAAGGCTTCTATGTGCTGCATGCACATACATGGGTGGGAAAGTTAAACCATTTTCAGTAGGTTATTTAAAGCTAGACTGGAATCACAGTTAACTAATATTTAATATTAGAAAGTGACAGTTTCTGTGGAGCCTCTTGCAGAGATTCAGAATTCTGCTGTGCCAGAAACCTTACTTCAATTTTAAAACATAGTTTTCCTACCAATCAGACACTGAAATGCTCTGCACATTTTTTTTTCATCTACTCAATGATCTTCTAACTTCTGCATATCTTGTTGCTTCATTTACAGATGATGGATACATGTATCCAATACATGGCTGCAGCCTGACATTATCTCCCCCTCTTGGACATATCAGGTTGTATTCATCTTACTAACAGTACCTGAAATATTTTTGGAAAGACTGTGAGCAACTCCAGATTCTCACAACATAGTACTCTAGAAAAATAACCAAGAAAGTACTTCCTATTCTTAATTCAGAGGAAGCTGTAAATCCCAAACATGAGGTTCTTTTCTTCACTGGCATCATGGCACCATGCTAGGTATCTGGCTTGAGCCATCTTACTTTTTTATCTGGGGTGTCCACACTGATGCCTTAGGATTCCCATGGTCTGCTGGGGTTATCTACATCCTCTACTGTCAGCCAGAAGTGAAGAGAAATACAAACTCAGTCTCTCTTTATGGCAGAAACAGTCTTCTTAGGGAAGTTTCTGCAGACCAAGAAAACTACCTCAAGGACATGGGACATGAGGAACATGAATGAGAAAACTAGGCTACGCTTAGTGCTCTCAGCCATCCCACTGTGTACTTGAGCTCACTCCAAGGGTCTGTGGAGGCCTGTTTCCCAATGACTGAATGTCAGTATATGGCAGTAGATGTGTGCCTGTGCTCAGAATGCTGCATGGTTACAGTGAGCGAGTCAAGCTATGGTGCTGTGACCACTTTCTCAGGCTGGTTTTTACTGACCAACCTCTCAGGAAAGAACCTTCTCTTAAAGTCCAGTCTGAACTTCCCTTAATACAGCTTGTGCCTGTTACCACTGGTCAGCACTTGCCCCTCAGCCTTCCCTTCTCCAAGCTGAACAAGCCAAGTGACATAAACCGCTCCTTGCAATTCTTGTGCTCAAGATATTCCACCATCATGGTCACCTTTCTCTGGATGGTCTCTAATAGTTTAATGTCTTTCTTATATCGTAGTGCCCAAAACTGCCCCCAGCACTCGAGGTGAGACTGCCCCCAGCACTCGAGGTGAGGCTGCCCCAGTGCAGAGCAGAGCAGGACAATCCCCTCCCTTGCCCGGTTGGTGATGCTGTGCCTGATGTCCCCAGGACAGGGCTGGCCCTCCTGGCTACCAGGGCACTGCTGACTCACATTCAACTTTCTGACTCCCAGATCCCTTTCTGCAGGGCTTCTTCTCCAGCCTTTCATCCCCCAGGGCATATGTATAACCAGGTACATCCCATCCCAGGTGGAGAATTGAGTTTTTTCTCATTTAGTTTCGTGCAGCTGGCAATTGCCCAGCTCTTCAGTCTGTCCTGATCTCTCTGTAACTCTTTTTGACCCCGCAAGGACTCTGGTTTAGTATTATTGGCACACTTTACACTTAATTCCTGCATCCAGGTTATTTATAAAAACATTACAAATTGAGCACTGGTGTCTGGACACTAACCTAATATAACCTCATTTACTGTAACCCTTTGAGCCCAACCTGTGAGACAGTTGTTTACCCATGTGAATTATGGTGTATTATGGACTTGCTCAGTTGAGTGCAGGACAGTTTATCCAGGATACTTTTGGAGACAGTATCAAAAGTTCTGCTCAAATCCGAACCCAGCACATTTACTGGCTTCCTTTGGTCAGCTGGGTGGATGACCTTGTCATAAAAGGAAATAAAGTTGCTTAACCAGGACTTCCCCCTCGTGAACCTATGCTGCTTGCGCATTGTCTCTCAAGTGTTTTTCAATTACTCTCAGAATATCCTTCTCTATAATTTTACCAGGCACTGAAGTAAGACTGGAGGGCTTGTAATTGCCGGAACCTTCCTTCTTCCCTTTCTTAAAAATTGGGAGAACTGAGTTGAGAGTTGAGTTTTCACTTGTGAGTCTCAAAAGGTATGGGTTCAACGTCCACCACCCTTCCATGGGGGTTAAGAGTATTACAGACCAGGCCCTGGATACCTAGAACAGCACAATGGCCAGACATGCCACAGGGCCTGAAACTGGAAAGGAACTGAAGCTTAGACATGGTTGACATATCTGAGTATATAACTCAGTAAAACTTTATGAGAGTAAGAAATATATAATGCCATCCTATATAGACAGCCCATACTAGGAGAGCTCTAACTGTACTCTAACAGGTCTCTGTAAGTACTGTACTTCCTGCTGAACCATTCCAGGGTTAAATAGCTGCTTTTGAGACCACAAGACCAATGCATATGCTTAATAACTCAAAAGGTATTTCCAGTGTGCTTCACACTTTCCAAATCCTCCTCTACTATTTCCCTGTCTTACCACAAACAATTCTGCTGTCATAGCTCTTATTTTCTTCATTGCTCTAGACAGTTTTTTCAATGTCATCTCAGGACTTCCTCCTTAAAACTTCTACTTCTAATTAAACATTTGTTAGGTACAAAGAGTGCTTTAAAGGATTGGTATACAAAAGTATTAATTGAAAAAAAAATTAATTCAGATTAATTTAATCTCCTTATAATTTTCTGATTTACAGTTTTTCTCATATTAAGCCTCAAGGGATTTTCTTTTGTCCTCAGATTACTGTTGTTGGCTTGTTTATTCTGTGACTTCATATCTCTGTTTAGAGCAGCAACAGTGTGTCAGCCCTTTCTGATTCTGCTTACTGATCCATCTTCCTGTAGAAGTAAGATGTAATGGGAACAGAAATTTGTGCAAATTCCAATTTGTGTTGGGTGAGCCATCATCCAGGAGCTGACACGACTTCTCAGAAACCTATTTGCAGTATTGTGGCCTGGAATGACCCAGGATTATGCCTCTGCCTCAGAGTTCCACATGCAATGGGTTCTCCAAAGGTCTTGATTAAACTCTCCTAACTCAGCCAAGGTATTTCCCAACCAGTTATTTTTACTCTAAAGATAACCCTGGAGAGTTACACATCTTTGCAAAACAAAAAAGCAACCATGAGATACACGTCTCCACCCAGTGTTATCTTTGCCCTTTTTGTGATGTTTAGAACTAGGTAAAGTTTGCCAATTTTATTTTCTTGTGTCTCATTTTCTGGACAGCAGATGGGTCTTTGCCTTGCCAGCCTCAATCTCTAACCCTTCACACCATATATTCAGTGATATATCTATCCTGCACCATCTGAGTCCAGGACAACACATACTAGATGGATCGATAATTCAGAATAATGCAGTCCCGAACATTTTTTGCTTGTTCCAACATGTCCAAAGACAGCCCACCCCAGACTTTGCCAGGCCACAGAAGATACTGGCTGCATCCAGGTGGAATGATATTCAGAAGATAAAAGGAACTTCACAGCTAGATTCAGATATGTTCTACATCCTGCACGTTTCCCAGTTTAGAAAAATCTTTTTTTTTTAATTGCAGTTCAGTATGGCAAAGATGATAAAAATTGTATCTTCTGCCAATAACTACATCAAAAGCACAGTAAAATATGGCATGATTGTAGAGTTGGTTATCTTGCAATAGCTTTTCAACAACATCAAAAGCAATGACAGTATTGTTGCTGTTACATATTTCTATAAAATTATGTGTTTCTTCCACAATCTGTATGTTTCTGGTAATGAATGGCAAGCAACAGATTGTCAGAAAAAGAATCAGTGGGCCCTCATTCTCTGTTTTCAGACTAACTCTTGAAACCATATTTAGGTTCTTAGATTTTCACAGAAGATAAAAGCTGGTTTCAGGTGTAATTTATTCTGCAGGTGTGAAACCTACACTGCAGAGACATTTCATTCCCTCTTTAAGGAAATGGAAGAGGTAGTCCATGTAAAAATCACATTCATCTGGAGAATTAAATATGCTAGTGGATTAGGTTCTAAACAAGCAATAGAAAAATATGTTTTTAGTTTAAAGTTGCCCTAAAATATCGATGGCATAAAATACTACTTCTTTGTTCCAAAGGAATTCCCCATTATTTATTGTTAAACATTAAACAGTCCTAGCAGACATTTCTTAATAGACTAAACCTTGCAAGTATTGAGTCATATCTCTTGTATTGTGCCACATTATTTTTCAATATTTTTTTTTATTTTTACTGTTTTGATTGATTAAAATAGAAAACATGTGGAGCCACAACTTCTTCAAGTTTCAATTCAGTGCAGCTTCACAGGAAACATTTATAGGCTTTCAACTGTTCATTCTTTCCAGTATCAGGTACATATTTGCCAACATACTACCCCACTTCCAGGTTTAATAAATGTTAAAAGTAAAAAAACAGATCTGTGGCCTGGTATCCTGCTGCATATTTGTGTATCCAGAATCTAATCACCTTTCAGTTGATCCAGTTTCTAAATGGCAGAAAGAATCATGGATAATCTAATGTGGAAATACATAGTATGGGTAAAACTGATTTCTTCTGCTGGAGGAAAAATTCTCCACTTACTAAAATGTAGAAAAAGGTTGTGCCACTTTGATTTGCTTAAGACTACTTCTACAGGAAATAAACACTGGCATCTTTAGAGAAATGCTTCTGTTCCCTATAAAAACTTCTGTATTAACATTTCTAGATGCAAAATGAAAAAGGAAACCTGTCATTGACAGAGAAGCCAGCTAGTCTTGTGCTTTCCCCTGGCTACATCTCATCTGTAACAGTTTGGTTCCCCCAAAACATCTTTGAGAATAAAATTAGGTGCTTTCTTCTTTCTTGTCTGCACTAACATAAAACTGGTTACATTTCTCCTAAACTAATGACTACACTATTAACAAGTAATTCAACAACAATTCCTCTTGTAATTTTTGCCTTTTAAACAAAAATTACATTAGGTCTCAGTAGTTACAATAAATTTGACATTTGGAGAAGACTTTCATTTTTATTTGGTTTTGTTGTGCTTTCTGATGGTTCCTGTTGGTTAGAAAGGAGATAGCAAGAACTCTTTTCTTCCTGAAAAAGCAGAATTTCTTAGGCATTATCCAAATATTCAGATCTCAAGGCAGAAAGGATCCAACAAACATGAAATCAGAAATGAAGATCTCCTACACATGATTTGGTAAAAGACCAACAACAATTACTACTAAGTCTTCCATTTAATAAGCAACAAAAATACAGTACTGTCTTCTCACTGACTGTAAATCTGTTTTTTGGAAGTGACACAGAGGCTCCTGGAGTGCCATGTTTCAGCCACTGAGTGCACATGAACTGGATGCCATAAAATGATAAAACTACTGCAGCTGACATAGACCTCAGAATACTTCAGATCCTATCTAACCACATTTTATAACCTGGAGCATGCCTGTAGGATGCTTTCTTCTCTTCCCATTAGCTCCCTGCCTCCACTTGCTTAATTTCTCCTGTACTTACACTATAAATATTTCTCCCATGTTTGTTTCTGTTTTCCATTACTTTTTACTTTTGATTGGTTTCTGTAACCTCATCTCAAAAAGGTTTTTTCAAATCTGCTGCTTTCTATTATGATGGACCCATTCAAACAGGAGCAGGGACTCCAGGGCATTGGTCACAGCACCAGCCTGACAGAGTTCAGTGTTTGCCACTGCTCTCACTGCTTGTTTGACACAAGAAGTGTTTGGACAATGTTCTCACACACATGGTGTGACTCTTGGGGATGGTGCTGTGCAGGGTCGGGAGTTGGACTTGATGATTCTGGTGGGTCCCTTCCAACTCTGCACATTCTGTGATTCTGAAAAACTTGAATTTTGGAATGGCTCAAGATTCAGACCATGTTGCAGAATTGTATTTACCAGTTACCCCCTCTCAGTAAAATGGATTCAAACTTTGGGTAAGGATTCAATTAGGTATTCCAGTGCTGCTCAAACCCTGTGTTTGGGCCAGTACTTTTGTCTGACTTATACCAAGAGAGTTGTTTTGCCAAAGATAACTTATTGGCTGAAATACTTCTATTCATCAGTGTGCTCAATTAAGAGAGTAAGTAAGTAAGTAAGTAAATAAATAAATAAATGCAATTAATACAATAAACAGGCTGTCATAGTACAGTATATCTTAAATAAACAATATTTTTACTATGTGTTGATGATTAATGAATGGCTGTTTCTGGCAAACCACTCAACTATAGCTCCAGGCATGGGACATCATAATTTTCCAAAAAAATAGTAACAGCTCTCCTTATACAAGCTTCAGACAGCCGCTATACATTGCAGTTTCCATGAAAAACAGGAATTTGGACTTGGATGAGTTGATTTTTTATAGGCCAGAGCTTATAGCTCATATAAATTGTGCACACATTCCTCAATGGCACAGGCCTCCCTAATATAAAAACAGATGCAGCCTTGTGTTCATGTGGTTCATAGAGTGTGTCAGTGTTGGACTTTTTATTAAAAAAATATCCTGCAGTGGTTGAAAACAAGCCTTCTTGCTTCACTAATTCTGTCCCTTTTCCACTCCTGCCCACTTCCCCCTTCCTGCTGTAGTGGTGCAAGCATTACAGCTGGGTACATCTGCCTCTTGTAACCATTACCAGCATTTCCACTTTGGGAAACAAACACAAAAACCACTGTAGCAGCATTACTGGCAGATAACAGAGCAATTCAATTTGGATTTTTTTCTAGTATTGTCTGGATGATGTATATTATGTTTTTCCACAGCTTAGGAGTTGGCCAGCAGGGAGAATGACTGCCTTGCTGTGACTGTGACACATCAGATCAGGCTGAATCTCCTGGAGAGGATGGGAGATGCAGAGTTGGCTCTTCCCCAGGAGCACTGGATTACGCTCAGCACAGGGGGGATTCTGGAGCGCAGAGCTGGCAGCGGGGGAGGCCGGGCAGGAGGGGGCTCTGCTCAGCGGGACCGGGCTGGCAGCCAGGTCACACAAAGCATGGAAAGAAAGAGACTTTCACAAGACTGAAAGTGGTGGGTTCAGTTTCTTCAGCTTGGGAAGGTAATGAAAATTGCTGGATTGACACAGCCAAGAAAGAAGGGAGAGTTGCTCTTGTTTTTAGTGTGTCTCACTCAGGAGGCCCGATTCTCTCAAATTTTAATCTAGTTTATTACTTTTGTGTTCTAATGCTGCAGAAGGGCAGTGGCCACAAAATTTTGAGGGAGATCTGAGGAGCCATGAGTGGGTTTGAGCATCAGAGACAACTTTCTTCTGGTTCAGCTGTCACAGAAGCTGCAAAACACAGCCTTGGGGCAGGTCCAGGGCCAGTGCCAGTAAATGCAGGTAACCATAATACTCTTGTAGCACTGCCTGTTGTGTATTCAATTCCATTTCTGAAATAATACACATTAAAAGAGGTGAGTGACAAGATAACTAAAGTAGAGAGGCTGGCCAAAAAGCAAGAAGAAGGTGAATGAACAAGGAAAGGGTAAAAAGAATTGGAAGTCCCACAGACACTAGTTCAAACAGAAAAACGGAGAGGACCTGCACAGTAACTATAGCCTTCCTACAGAGCTATGAGAAAACACCCTGGAGATGCTGTAAAACGTTTGGATCTAGCTGGTTTATTTATCTTGTTTGGTTTTGCATTTTCTTCCAATAAGAATGTTATTATTCCAGTGGCATCATCTACTCAGATCTGTGTTCAGGTAGATGCTGACATACTAGAGCAAATCTGAATGAAGCCCAGCAAGACCAATAAAGTGCTGGAGCATGTGACATATTAAAAACCTTCAGAGAATTGCTTTGCTAAGTCCCAGGAGAAGGCTTGAGATGGAGGAGACGTTATTGCTGTCTCCAGCTCTCATCAGAGCATATAGAGCCAGACCACTGTCAAAGTGCACTGATAGAACAAGTGGCATATGTAAAATTCTGATTACAAGGAAACTTTAATTTTTTTAATCAGGAAACTCTTGAAGAGGATCCCAGAGACTGGGCAACCTTCATTCCTAAAGATATTCATAACTCAGCTGGCAAAGCCATGACTCACCTGGTCTTGTTGGGTACATTTAAAGCAACATCAGATTGAAACACTCTCCAGAGGCCTCTTCCAACCTAATTCATTCTGTGACTCTATGACTTAACCAATTATCTTCTGGTATTTTCATTTATCAGTAGTACTTTCCACAATAACCTTATAATATTGATAGCTTTTATTAAAACAAGGAACTTTTCCTCATTTAACTGGTTTTAGTGTTCTTTGTAAAAAGAGCCTCTTCATTTTGTCATTATTATTTTTTAAATGTTGTTGCAGACAAGCTGTCTTGAAATACACAGCTGAACTGGAGGAACAGGAACATAATGTTGACCCTCCTTCCTGGCTTGGATATGACTGGGATGGTAACATAATCACCTTCACCAAAAAACACAGATCAGAGCCTGAAAAAACAAATTCTTCAAAATGAAAAATGAAGAAATTGTGCAACATCTCTACAATTCAAGGGTTTTATTCCAGAGCATAAAAAGACCACTGTGTTATTTTTTCTTAAAACTAATCACACTTTAATAAAAGGCCATTTGTTGCATTAGTAAGGAAGCATAGCAAATCTTTCTCACAGGAGTATGAATGCCTTCAAGCAAGACAGCTGCACTCAGACAGCACTGCTAACTCTCAGATGTTGATTCAAGCTGTCTTCATCTTTCAATAATGAAAGTTTTTGTAGTCCCATGCAGAGTAAGCAATGAATAAATTTGCATGTGTTTGTGGTTCTTGTTTGCCATGGAGGTCCTCTCCAGGACATAAACACTCTGACTCCCCAGCGAACTTCACACTTGATGTGGCTGGTACTCATCAAGTACAGCCTTCTTGAGAAATTGAGAGCAGTGAGTAGGTAGTGACTGCAGATTCTTTAATACACAACTACACCCATATATTCAAGCACAGTTCTCCACTTCTCAACAGTCACTTGTGCACCCAGAGCCCTCATTCTCATAAAAGCCTCTTGGGCTGAGTCCAACTGTCTAAACAAGCTGATGTTCGTGTCTGCAGGTCTGAACTGTGGGCTGGCTGTCAGCTGCCAGAGCAGAAGAACCAAATTAAAGGGAGCACAGATGAAAAAAGTGTTAAAGTATAAATGCTCCAGTTACAAGAATGACTTCTTATCAGACAGAAAAGATATATGAGCACACGGGGGATTTACCATTCAAATTCTAATTGCTGATAACCTACTGATCTTCCCTTGTCTAGAGAAAAATACAGTTTAACCTCATTTTAGTGGAACAAGACATTGTTCAATGCCTTTGGAGAAACTCCCAAGAATTTGTCCTTCAACTCATTGTTGACCTTTATATTAACATTCTACCTGGTCTCAACATGTATTAGCTTGGAATGAATATAATCAGTAGCTTTAGTGGTAAACACAATTTTTCTTCTGGCTGATTTAAACTTTAAACAAGTAACTAACAATCCTGCCATTTAACTCCTGCTACATTTAGAAAATTAATGAATTCAAAGCCTGAGTTTGCTTTCTTTTGAATATGGAACAAATAACATGTTTTCTTACTGTGTTCTGCCTTAAATTGCTGATGCAGCAGTCCCAAAAACCAGAACCTTAATCTCAGAGGCTGACAGGCTTTGTATTTCAGGTGAATAATGGGACCATTAAAAGGATTCAATCTTGTGAAGTACCTACTAGAATATTTTGATGTTTTCACGTGGTGTGAATCTTGAGGTGCTTTTTTCACTTTGGCTGCAGCAGGGCATAGAAATCATTACTTTCAACCATTTTTGTGGATATCCAAAACAATTATAATTTATTAATTTTGTGACTTTCAAAATTATAGTAACTCATATCTAATAATATTCTAATACCTTTAGTAATACTATTAGAAATGTTTTATATATTAGTGTTTATATTAAAAATACACATAATTTGCCATATGCCTCAGTGCCCACCTCATCTCAACAAACAGTATACACAACAGTAAACAGGAAGTGGAGTTTTTAACCATTCTGAATTACAGCAGACATGCTGCCCTTGACTCTTGAAATCCATTAGCCAGGGGCAATTATAGCTCCTGGGGAATCCTGTGGCAAAGGAGAGGTAATTTCATAATGTACCATTATGACCGAAAGTACATACACATATATACAAAACTTAAAGCCTGAGCTGACAGTCTGAATTCTTTCCTGCTCCTTGCCATCCCCTTAGCTGGCAGGGATTCTTATATGTCAGCCTAAACCATGCATTTCACTACTGCTTTTATAAGGTGCCATAGAGAGGTATGGAAAGGCTTTTAAAAGCTCCATTTACTTTACTGTGTGCTTATATTACATGGAATGTGTTATATGTGTAATACACATATAACGCAGAACCATCCACAAAAATCAGGCCTGCCCTTGTGCAGGTCTAGCTGCTCCCCTCACCTCCCTCCTCTGCCTTCCTGCCTCCAAGAGGTGCCTGGCAGCTTTGCAGGACAGGGCTCCAAGTCCCTACAAACAAAGATTCCAGTTCTCAGTCACCAGGGCAACGCTTCCCCTCTATGGCAGCTTTTCCTTCAGGGAAATGCTCATGTGGACTCCCCACCGAAGTCCAGTTGGAGGAGTGTTCCTCCTTGAAAGCAGCCAGATCCATTGGACTTCCATTTATTTTAAAAGCTTTTCTTCACAGATGAGCAGCGGCAGACAGAGCTTCAGTTCTTCTTTCTATCCACAAACCAGAGGTTCAGGATGACACGGAACAAGTTCTGCCATTTCAAAGAAGTATTTTTACAGAGTATCCATCACCCGGGCAGAAACTGCTCCAGGTTCAAACATCAAATGAGAAGACCACAGAAGAACTACACTGAAAGTGACTTTTTCCTATCCATGACAGCATTTGGTTGAAGAAAATTCTCTGCCTTTTGCATAAACCAGCAGAATTCCCACAGTATTAAGACATGTAAATTAAAAGTAAAACAGATCTTGCAAAGCATGTCGTCTTGGAAGTGCTGAAAATGTCTTTTTTATTTTTAAATGACAATTCCAAACTTTTGTTTGAAAGCTACCAGCTTTTAAACTGATATGCTAAGTGGGTCAAGTTATATAAATTCTGATTATGTAAGATCATCTAATTCCTAAAAGGCACTAAAAGTAAACCAGACTGTTTAGCACCAGCACTGTCACAGGCAAATCTTGAGTTAAAATGTTCTCATTTTAATAGCTTCTCTTTTATATTAAGAATATTCATCCAAAAAGTTTCATAATTTTACAAAAATGTTCCTTTGTAGATTCTTGATTTAATCTCTTTGGCCTATTTCACCTTCAAGAACTCTTCAGCTTGACAGATTGGATCCAGCTTTGGCTTTTAAGACACACTTTGCCATTTTGTGTGTCAGCCTTAATCCATTTGTCTGTTTCATCCCTTTGATTCATGTGACCTGGAAAAGAGAGTTGTCTTAGCTTAATCTGACACACAATAAACATATCATCATCACATTGTCATTTTTTTCCAAGCTCCCTGGAAGCACTTATAGCACTTTCATTTGGTAGAATTTGTGTACTTTTAGCAGAGACTTCCGACATTTCCTTTTTGATACAGTTTTTTTGCATTAATCTAATTTCCCATAATACATCTTTACAATAGAGTAGTGGGTTTTATTATATAGTACTGCACTTTTTATTCTAAGCTAAGAAATGTGTTATGGTGAGTTGACCCTGGTTGGATGTCAGGTGCCCACCACAGCCACTCTACCACTCTCCTTCTCAAATGAATAGGCCAGAGAAAATATAACAAGAGGCTCATGGGTCAAGATAAGGACAGGGAGAGTTCAGTCAACAATTGCTGTCACAGAGAAAACAGATTCAACTTGTGGAAAAAATTAACTTAATTTATTCCCAACCAAATCAGAGAAGGGAAATAAGAAATAAAGCCAAATCTTAAAAACATATCCCAGTCACCCCTCCCTTCATTCCAGGCCTAATTTCACTGCTGATTTCTCTACTTCCTCTCTACCAGAGGCACAGGGAGACAGAAAATGAGGGTTTAGGTCAGTTCACACATTGTCTCCACCACTCCTTCCTCTGCAGGAGGAGAACCCTCATGCTCTGACATGGAGTCCTCCCCAAGCTGCAGGTGGATCTGTGCAGCCCTGCAGACCTCCAGGGGCTGCAGGGCAATCTCTGCTCTGCTATCTGGAGCACCTCCTGCCCCTGCTTCTGCACCGGCCTGCACATGAGCAGGGCTGCTGCTCTCACATATTTTCACTCCTCTCTCCAGCTGCTGGTGTGCAGTGGGGTTTTTCTCCTTTGGCAGCGTTATTCACAATCACTGATGGGCTCAGCCCTGGCCAGTGGTCGGTCCACCTTGGAACAGGCTGGCACAGGCTCTGCAGGACACAGGGGAAGCTTCTGGCAGACAGAAGCCACCCCTAGAGCCTCCACTACCAAAACCTTGCTACACAAACTCTACATGTACTGATTTTCTCTGGGGTAGGGTTAATTTTTTTTATAGTAGCTAGGATGGACCATGTTTTATATTTCTGCTGAAAACAGTGTTGAAAATATATAAAATTCATTACTTCTGAGTGGCCCCTCCAGAGTTCCAAGGCCTTTTCTGCATCTAATACTGCCCTGCCAGCGAGGAGACGGGGAGTGAATAAGCTGGGAGGGGACAGAGCCAGGACAGCTGACCCCAAATGACCAAAGGGATTTTCTGAACTGTATGGAGTCATGTTCTGTATAAGAGCAGAAGTGGGAGCAGGGGACATTCAGAGTGACCAGGCATTTGTCTGATCCAGTACCTCTTACATGAGATATAGCCCTGCTTCCCTGGGAATGGCTGAACACCTGCCTGCCCTGGGAAGTAGTGAAAGGATCCCTTGTTTTGCTTGGCTTGTATGCACAGTTTTTGCTTTATCCATCAAACTGTCTTAATTTCAAGGCCTCTTTATCCCAACCCATTAATTTTCTCACTTATATTTCTGCTTTTCTCCCCCATCCCATTGGTGGGGAGCAAGTGGCTGCCTGGTGCTCAATTGCTGGTTCTGGTTAAAGCATGACTCTACATGAGATACTAATCTGGCTAAGTAATTTCAAAGATTTTAATTGTTTTTGTAAACACTGAAAAGAGGCATGGCAGGACCTTATTGTCCAGATGACCAGACATTTTGCTGCTATTAATGCTTCCTTATGATAACGGCCTAAAAAAACCCCACAACTCTGAAGTATCTCTTACATGTTTCACATAAACCATATTCATAGTCATGGCCTGTAAAGTTCACTGTATAACAAAGAAGAGAGCTCAACTCAGTCTTACTTTATAATTAAGAAACTGAGGCCAAGAGAGAATAAGCGACTTTCCAAATTTATACAAAAGATTTGTGTCCATATAGGGAATTAAACTGGGATCTTTAAAGTCCCAAATCAGTGCCATTATCATAAACATCACCCTTCACTTTGGTTTATCTTTACAAAGTATCATTTATTATTATTTTAGTGTCCCATTAACTTTGTGAATTTTAAGTTTAGAACTAATTTGAGCCTGGAATAGCAAGAGGGATGGCATGGAAGCAGATTCTGAACCAACCTTGCAAACATGCTCTGCTCTGACTTGTAACACAGCTGAAATTAAATTCTGGCCACAGTAAAAACTGTGGCAAAACTCCAACTGACATCACTGCATTGGTTTCCACAACCCAGGCCTATGTGCCAGAACTTTTCAATAGTGTTTCAGTGCTTTAGCTGTTCTAAGTGGGATTCATTTAAGTTTATGGGCCAAACCCACAGCAATTCATAATAGGCTGAGGTATGGTTTGGAGGTACAGAGTTCTCAGAGGAGCCAAACTATGTCAGTCACTTCAGTGTCCCTTCTTATCAGACTACAGCTTGCCTTCAGGCATCTCCATGGGGATGTCCTAGCACAATTTCTGCACTCCTCATTGCTCCAGACAGCAGCAGTCTCAATCCCACTCAGTGTATCATTTCTACAGTAAAGCAGAATCCACAGACCTACTCACCATCTAATTGAAGACTTAAATCTGTGATGAATCACCAAGTTGGACAAATGTGTTGTATATGGAATACATTAAAATTTGGAAGTTCAGTTCCTCAGAGCTTTCCTGAATCACTGATTTTCAATAGTGTTGTATCAGAGAGTATAGAAGGAAAATTAAAATACGATCTGTCTTTTAAGCATAAATAGTGCTCAAAACATGTCATCAGTCTGGTTTTTAAACAGGAAACAGCCTCCAGGTGACAAGAAATTGAACCAACAAAAAAGTATAAAGGAAAATTTCAGCTGATCATTTAACAGAGCTGTAGCACACTAAAAATACAGCTTTTTCTCCTAGGGAGAGAGGACACAATAAATGCAGGGCAGCTATATATTTCCAGAAAATGCACACTGGAGTGCTTGGTCCCAGTTCTTCTCTCTCATGTTTTTGTGACTATGGCTTGTACTTCTCCACAAGAAACAAACACTGAAGCACAGAATCAGTGCTGAAAATGGTTTCATGCACTGCTTGCACCTTGGCAAAGAAGTTAAAGAAAAGTTTACGGAACACAGGAACAAATTTACACGAGCCATTTTAAAGCTGAGTTGTTGTCAGAGCTCTGTTTCTCATTTTGCTTTTTCTGTCTGAATGTAGAAAAAAGTTTTCTTCCTTATATTTCTGGAAATTTTCCTGTGAGGGAAATATTAAGGTTATTAAGCCCATCACTAGTAGGAGGTTCAAAGTTATTTCTGATATTTAAATAGCTTTGTGTATGAGGCACTAATCAAACAAGGTTCAGTAGGAGACCTTCTGATGGCTGCTTGGGTCTTAACTGTACTCACTGCTTGTACTCTGAATATAATGAGAACATAAGTGGATTTTGAGGAAGACTTTGCTAGATTGATTAAATCACAAAAGCAAACAGCCTCCTGGATTGAGAATGGGGCGGGGGGGAAATTAATTTCAAAACCTACCAGTCAAGAAAGCAGCAGGAGTTCATGAGAAGACAGATACACCATTATGCTGTGTGGCCACCTTTTCAATTTAATGCCCAGGAAAAAGGTTGTGGTTTTTCCCCCTCTCCAGCATGTGGTGTTTAAAGGAAGGTAACACGTATGCAAAACTTTACACAGTCAAGTGCTGACTGTTTATTTACTTGCCTTCCTAGAGACTGGAGAAGTTGAGAGCTCTATTTTCATACCACAAAACACAAGAAGAGGATCATATTTTAAGTGTTGTTCATTGGTAGCATTAGGACTGTAGTATATATCAAAAGGCTGTGAACAGCTTGAGCTGAATGCAAGCTGAAACCAATAAAAATCTGTAGGATAGCATCTCATCTAATGTGTTTAATAAAAGTTGGATGAACTTTCTATTTGACTCAAAGGAATGTAATCTTTTCCAGATACAACCTGGGCCTTTGTTTATTTTTTTTAAGATATTGCTTAAGGATCAAGGCTTCACAGAGGGCAGTGTGTAGAGGGACACTATAAAACAAAGCTCTTCCCACTCAATTCTAATGGCTAAGAGTCAATAAAAACTGCTTCTAAGAAAGAATGAAAGTTCTGAAGTGCCTTGAGAACAGACTAAACAGGGGAGGCATGACAGCAGATAGTGTTACTCCTGGGATCAGGACTGCAATGCTGACTGCAACAAACCCAAGACAGCTGCACAGTGGGAGAAGGAGTTCTACACTTGGGCAGCTGGTAAACTTCAGATAAAACCTAAAGTTTCAGCAGACTGACATAATACAAGCTCTTTCAGTTATTTCCCTTTTAAAGGCAAGTTTCTTGTCTCATGTTATTCACTGCCCTTCAGCTGTGTTTGTATTCACCCCCTGAACTCCAGGCAGCTAAAAACAGACATTACCTTGGAGTAAGCAATATAGAATTTCTCATAATGAAGACTCTTAAACACATCCATCCATAAAGCTTTGTGCATGGTATAGGAGACTCATGCAGTCAGCCCCCTCTGGCACACTGGCCTTAAAGCAATCCTAAAGGGAAGGCCATAGCATTCCATAGGCTGCTCTCCCAGTACTACTGTATGAGAGACCACTGAGTGAACAGTGAAAAGTAATCATTCCTGATGGCAGGAAACATCTGTCTAGATCCCCTTTGCTCCAGCAGGGAACATCAGGCAGAAGTGAAAGTCGTAATATTTCAGTGCATGCTTGAATGAGTGATTGTTATAAGGAGAAAGGTGTTTCTCACCACAATCTACAGGGAGAACCAGGCAGGATGAGAAAACCTGAAGCATGTCAGTATGAGAAACCTGAAAAGCCAGAGGTAGGACAGCAGTGTCAATGTCCATCTTCTCAAAGGAATCTGATAATTACAGACAGGCTGACTCTCCAGAGGCACAGGAAGAAAGCCAGCTAAGAAGTTCTGCAGTATTAAAAGAATAATTAGATATTTCATCAACCCATAAGGTAGAGGCAATGTGTACCTGAAAATTTGCACAGTGGAAAAGGAGTTAGAAAAGTCAGTGTGGGATTTCCTCTCCATGCCCTGTATACACATCTGCGGGAAGGCACAAATTAACGTGGGAGAGTCCCATTACCAGAAGCACGGCTCAGAGGAACACTGCTCTCAGGTGGCTTAGCAAAGCTCTTGTGCTGTAGCCAGGATGGGATTAGCACCAAAACCTAAAAGTCCTGTTAACTGCTGCAATTGCTGCGATGCTGACAACAACCAGGAGCAAGTATGTCTCGACTTGGGAGAAAACAGTAACTCCCAAAGCACATGCTCCTTGTGTAGGGACAGAAAAATACAAAGGGTTGTATTTTACAATTGTATTTTAAAGGTTACCCAGTTGAGAAGGTAAGAACCTGGAGACACAAGAACCATGACAAACATCCACAGCCTCTGAGGAGCACTTGTGATATGGTGGGACTTTTACCGTGGAAACTCACACAGCTGCTGCAAACCAGATGAAGTGATTGCAAAGTTAAAAAATTACTCAGCACCAAGCAGATGGCATCAGGTGAAAGGTTGCCACTGGATAGGAACTTGGCACTAGAACTGGGGCAAGGATGGAGAAACATCCAAAATCAGGTGAGTACCTGGCACCACTCAGAGATGAGATTGACATTGTTTATTTTCAAGACAATTATGTCAATGTAAATTGACACCATTAGCTACAAGGATTGAAATAAAGTCTCTGAATGACTGCAAGACTTTTTCCAGCAAGTTTACAGTGGTTAACACACAAGCTGGCAACCAAAGTGGCTAATGTGTGTCCAGTGGCTGCATTTCTTTTAGTCCTCATGCTGATAGCCTTCCTTTGTTACTGTGGAATGGGTGGGAGCAGATGGTCAAATCAACCTGAGACAAGAGAAAACTGGGCTGAAAGCCTCTCTGGAGGAAGCACTGCATTTGGTCTGAAATGCTCACAATCCGCAGTACTGACAGTCCTACTTCTTCCCCAGAAAAGTGCTACAAGGAAGTTTACCTTGCTGTTTAACGAAGTTTCCTTTACCATAAGGTCAAGTTATACTTTCTAGTCCTATTGCCAGTGGACAGAACAATTTATTTCTTTATTTCTCTGTAGCCACTTCTTATGTACTAGAAAAATGCATCTTCTCTTCCCTTTGTCTTCTCTTTTGAGACAAAACCAGAACTTTTCAGTCTTCTCTCATTAATCATGATTTTAGGACTCTGATGACATGTTCTTTAGAGATTCTACAGTTTTGAAGGACAGTACTCAAAACTGGACAGATTCCAGCAAATTATTACTAATGCCATGCAAAGGCATTGAGTTTTACAGAACAAGCATGTTAATGCTGTTTGTTTTCAATAGTGTAACACTACCATTTCCTGATATTATTTAAATATTGCTCCTCTTGGGACTACGTGGTAATTGTTCCTAACATTGTACTTTGAACTTACTGGAAAATGGCCTAAAAACCATAGAAATCAAAATTACTTGAACTTTAACCTTGACCTTCAACATGTTTGCAACCCCTTTGACATAACAGTCTCTTAAGTTCATTTTCTGCTTAAATATTTAACTCTTTTTAGCCTGCTACACTTTCTCTTACCACATGTAGTACCTATAGCTAATTACCTCTGCTGGCATAAGATTTAAGAGCACAGGCAGACTTGGAGACAGGGAGAAGGCAAACTGAGCAGTAGGGGCTTCCCTTCTTGGCAGTGAAAAAAAGAACACCTTGACATGATTACAATCAGAAATTACTGGAATTGCTCAAGCACTCTAAAGACAGACAGCCAAACACTTCCCCTGACAAAAGCTAGACCAGAGTTTACTCTGTTTTTGTAACATTGCACTTTACCATACATACTACTTCTAATACTACCTACTGATGCCAATGGAAACAGATGCCTTGCCCTTGCAAATTACTTCAAAGAATGAACTCCCTGTCACTGCTCTCTAGCTCCCTCCCTTTCTCAGCAAGTGTCTCAATTTTGCAGGAAAGTCCCTTTTTTTCCTAAAAGAGCAAAACACATTTTCACACATCCTTCTGTCCCTGGAGCACTCACTCCAGACTTGCATCATCTTGCTTTCACTACATCCCCCTCTGTTCCTTGGCTCTCTGGAAAAACCCTGGCTGTGAGTGCTTGTGGGGTTGTACTGACTCCCCCCTCGGTGTGGAAGTTGGGGGGGATGATGTACATAACCGCTCTAAAGCAGTAGGGAAGGCTTTCCTAGAGCAGGGAAGTGCAGGACAAAGTGCATGTTTTCCCAAGTCGCAGAACTCCACCCTGTCTTCCCACTGGACTGTCCTTTCAAATATTCCCAGAGGCAAGTAAAGCTTCCTAAGAGGTCACAGTTCCCGTGTTATTCACATGAGAACTGGATTTTCTAAAAAATCATCTGGTTTTAAACTAATCTTTGAACTCAAAAGCACAAAACTCCTAAACTGCCATCTTCCTGTGATACTGTTTTAAACCACTTGGCAAAGCCCCTCTTTCCTCTCTATTTTACATTTCTTCAGTCACAGCAGCAGGACAGCTAAGGACCTTGTATCTGAAACTTCAGCAGTGAATAATGTTCTCAGGATACAGAAATTGTATTAAATAATTTTCAATTATTTGAGAATCTAATTAAACAAGTAAATTAGCAAATATCACTTTTAGGAAGAAGCAATTGTTGATAATGAGGGGGTAAGTTCTTTGTCTGCAGAAAGAATACACCATAAGACAAAGAAATAGAACCAGGAAGTACCTCCCTTTTTATGTAATACCTTACCTTCTTTAAAAAACTGATACTCATTGGCCTAATACTATTGCCTTTGTATAATTATTGATGATTTCTGTGCCTTTGGGATATGCATATTTGAGAGTTAACTAATCAGTCACTTTTGGCCCCAAGTGACTAGATCATTTCCATACAGAACAGTGGGTTGAAAAATGACATCTCCTTCAGTGATGACTGTCCTACATAAACACTGACTGGGTTGTGAAACCAGAGCAGTCATTCAGCTGTGTATATTTGAAACACCACTCTTATCTATAATGTTGCCAAAGTAGCAAGATGATTGATTGGCCCATGGTCCTCATTCACTGAAAAGAAGTCTTGTCTTACTGCTGAGATGTTTCATTTCACAGATTCTCACTGGGGTCCTTCCACAGATTTCTAGCCTGAGAACTTCTAATTACGGTTTTTAAAGAAACTGTATTTAATAATCACTATTAAATTTAAGTGCTAGTTACTGTTCCTAGGGAGGAAGAGATTATATAAGCAGGCTACATACTAAACTTATGTAATTACACTTCTTATGTTTCCTGACTTTAAGATTACCATCTTACATGGGGGAGGAAAAGAGTTTTTCTGCACATTTTCTTAGGTTTAAAACCAGAGCAAAACCCAAAGCCTTACCCAATCTGCTATCACATCAGGTCACACTGACATAACACGTTCAAATATAAAGCTGGAGCCCTCAGACACATTAAGTTAATGTATTCTCTAGAGCAAACTGTTTAATTGGTAAAAGCCAACAGCCTTAACTTCTAGATAGTCACATCTGGACTGGGGGAGAGAAATACACACCCTGACAGTGAATTGTGCAACTGCTTTCTAAAGCAGGAAACAGCAAGACCTGGGATTCTAAGTTCAAATTTAAATGCCTTACAAGAATCCTTCCAGTAATTGCAGGTACCTTTCCATGTACTCCCTCTCTATTGCTCCAGCTTCTTCTGCTCTTCTCATCTCCCACCCATCATTTCTCAGCCTATCCTGCAGTACTGTACATTTTTTTATATATATATATATATGCCATATACCCCTTTTACTTCCCCCTTTGACTCAGAAACAGACAGATATTTTTAAATTATATTTTTAATATAATAGGTTGCCTAGGAAAGTCTACGTGACTTTCTAAGCCAACAAAGCAATAGGTCAAATTCAGCTCTGGAGTACCTCCCACAAATTCATTGGACTAGCACTGAAGAGGAATTTGGCTCTAAGACTTTTGTTAGAAGAAGTTGATTACATTCACAAGTCATTTACCAAATAAAATTTTCAAGTCATCCAGTAACATGGGGAGTACAACAGCACAAGCAAACATCTGAATGTGAAGCAGATTAAACAAGCAGCCGCCAAGGGCAATAAACTAATAAAGAAATGTAGATGCCCTTGACTTAGGCCAGACAGACATTTATTGGAAGCCAAGATTAGTAAGCCTTACCACTTAGAGTTACATGATCGTCTTTGGAGGCACTCTGTGTTTCTTTTAACTGGATCTCTGAGCTCACATCCACTTTTCTTCCAGACAGCTCTAAATAAGCTTTGAGAGACGCAGGTACCTTGACGGTAATTGAACCTGGTATAAATTTAAGTGAAAGCTAGTTAGTTTAACCCTGAGATCAAAGCATGAAATAGTCCATTATTCCACTAAATGGAATCAAATTATCTGGTTGTGCTTGGTTGTTTTGGTTTTTTTTAGTCTTCAGAAACAGTAATCCCCTTTTTTTTTAGTCACTGAAAGGATAAATGAAGGTATCTTCATTTATCATAAACAGAGTATGTCACATATAGAAAATAGATATCACAGTATTTCCTTCACAGACATGAAAATAAATAGTGGCATACACTTCTAGCATTATCTTTTGGCAGAGAATCTTATTACAAGAATGATCAAGGGAAGCAAATATAACAGATCTCAAAGGTATTACGACTAAGTTCATCTTTTAGTTGCATATTGACATTCCTGAGCAAGGACAGGGCATAAGACTTGACAAATAACCCAGCCACTGCACGGCACACGATGAAATAATTGCTCTGGAAGGATGAGATGCTGCTCATTTACTGTGAGCACTGGTGATTGTCTTTGCTTTACTGCTCAGGGACAGCTGTTCACATCCTCCAGCAGATGCATTCTCAAAGCTGACTAACCAGCTTAGACTAAGCATCACTAACATGTAAACTAGTAGCAAAATTGCAGCTTTGGTGGCCTAAATAATTCTACTTTGAGATTAAAACCAGATATTCTGACTTCTGCTTGCCCTAAATATGTGCATCTGTGCATCAGACCAAAGGCAGACACTGGGCTCCCAACGTGCTCACATTAGTCATATCTTTGGAATAACTCATTCACAAAGTTTGAAAGCTCTCTCCTACACATTACATCAAAAACCTGAAAAATTCAGAATACATTTCCTTTTCATGTGCTCCTTAGTTTTTGCTCAATTTTAACATTCACTTTAGAAAAACATAAAACAGTTTCTTGACATACATTCCAGAAACTTAAGCAGAACATGGTAAGAATAACAACTAAGTAGCACCAGAAAGCAACCCTAGCTAAGCAATTTAGACTCAGCAGAATCACTTGCCTGTGACAGTTCTGATGAACAAATAACTTCCAGTATAATTTAGGCCCGCATTTTTCTGCATACACGAAGGCCTTAGAAAAGGAAAGGGAAAAGGTCTTCATCTTTGGGTCCTCTTTGGAGAGTTGCACAGTGATGACTCATAAAAACCAACACACACGCAGCTCATTTATCACAAATGGGACATTTTCTACACTGCAGCTGTCAGCAGTTGTTCTGAATTTACAGGGTAAACAGAAACAGAACTTCAACTTTGCCTTTACTAAACTGTGCTGCCAGAAGAGATGTCAGAAAATATTTTGAAAATAACATTAATTAGCTTTTATTAAATATATTCCTCTTCTAATTCAAATAGACATTAACTTAGCAAAATAAGTGACACAAAAGGTAACCAAGAAATAATATAAATTTCTTTTCACTAATGAAAAAAAAAAATTGATTGTACAGAAAGATGCACAAATAATTTCAATTCATTGACACCATCAGTCCCATTTAGAGTAACTGTTAGGTTTTAACAGGGCACAGGAATTGTCTCAGAGGAGACAGAGGTGGATTAAATACCAGGTTCACTTAAACCACCTGAAGTGCCTGACATGACATTAAAGTCAAGTATAAAAATGCTGTAGTGTGTTTTGGATGTTTTTTGTTTGTTTGCATTTTCGGTTTTTTGTGAGGTTTTTTTTCCAACTAGGATCAACAAGATGTTTTCAGGGCTCTGTAATTTACAGTATCATATCTTCAGAGTGGTAAAACTATGAATTCAACCTTAGGTGAGAGCTTTTAACTAAGAAAAGAAATTTTAGTGAGTAAGCAGGAGAGAAAATTAAGGCCAAATGCTAATGTAAGGCTCTCCTATCTTTGTTTTTCTGCCTTCAAATTTTCACAGTAGACATTTCAGTCAGAAGGCAAGAAAAATAAATGTATGTGTGTCAGTTATCACTGCATATACAGCATCATGGAGAAAACTGCTCAAGGAAAAGGAACACTGTAAGACTAGTCAGCTCTGCAGAATTTTGCTGGGTATATTGCCAGGAAAAAAAAGAAAAACATTGAAAACCACAACTACTTTTAATCCATCTTAAGTATTCTTATCCCTTACAGAGCTTATTATATTTTAAGTATTTATAGACATCTTCCAATAATGATGAAAAAAAAAGATGTAAATAGCCAACAATCACAAACTTTTCTTTAGAGACAGATAAAAAAAAACCAAAAACAAACCTTTTATCTCCTTCTCTTTTACACCAAAATCTGCCACAAAAAATATTTTAGTTTGCTAACCTTTCTGGGATTTCAGATCCACTTTTCTTAATTGACTGACATAAACATCGATTGTCCCATGATACGTAGAAGCTTTTAGACTTCCATCTGATGAATCTATAAAAAAAAATAAAACAAAACTTGTGTATCATTTACTCTTTTTAAGTAAAGACTTACCAGATTTTTTCTTTATATCTCAAACTGATTTTTATCAATTCTTCTCCGTTTAAGAAGTATCATAATAATTTACAGGATGTCAGCCTTCACTTAGAGTAATAGGCTTCTGAAAAAACCCTATCTCCCCAGTCCAGAATTGGGACACACTCTGGTCCTCAGGCTGTAGCTCTGCAGTTGTTCTACGTCTACAAGGGCCCAACTGCAGTGCACCTCTTTCAGAGGAATGTCCTCATCTTTGTGTGAAAATCAAGCACAAAACTTGAATACTAAGATCTCTTTTAGTTTCCAAAAGAGTTCATTAGCTCGGAATCTGCGCAGGGAGAACTTTACCCAGGAAAGAAACCCCATGCAAAAATCAAGCAGCTGTTCATCTTGTTACACAGAATAACTGAATATAGGTTTTGTAAAGTCTGATTTACTACATTCAAATGATCAACAAATGTTTAATATGTGCAAGAAAACAGCATTTGTTCTGTGCTCTAGAATAGGGAGACTAAATTTGCTTTCATACTTCATTAGCAGAAATTTATGATCATAAAAATTTGCAAAGAAGAATTTTTACAAATAGAAAGTCTTTAAGAAGCTTTAATTGTACCCTTCAGTAGTCTTTATTTGCAATGTATTCCAATTTTAAATACATAGACTTCCACAATATTAAGTGAAGTCCCAAAGAGTTTACTTTCAAACTACTGAACAGGCTTATACATAATAAAAATGGCAAAGAAAATATAAAAAAACCCAAGAGGAGCATAAAAAAATTACATTTTAAAGTAAGCAAAAGGCAGTTACTGAGAGGTGTTTTTAGAGACAAAGCTAGAAATTAAAGTATTGGCAAGAAATCCTGAGATGCTGATAAAGACTGGTTTCTGAATATGCATAGAGCAAACTCAACAGCCAAACTATTAGAAGTAGCTAAAATAATAAAATAACACCTGAATGAAACTTCCCATTTTAAGAAGTAAAAGCATTAATGAGAGAATGAATTTGATTAATCACAACAAGGATGTGTCATATTAACATTTTATGCTTGCCATACAGTTTTACCTCTAATTAAATTCATCTGTAGCTTTTCTGATCCCAGGTTTCAAGCACAGATGCCAAAGATCAGTGCATTGCTTACAACAGCAAAAACACAGAAAAGGATCTTTATCCCACAGCTGAAACTGATTTCTTTGGAAGGGAAAGTAATTAAAAAAAAAGCAGCTAATCCATACTTAGCTGAGAAATGGAGAAGGGCTTTGGCTATAAAGAAAACATTAGTAGCTAGAACCGAATGTGAATGCTTCTGACATCTCAAGACTCTGTATTAAAGAAGGCCTGTTCGAAATCTGAAAAAAAAAATTAACTCTTCATTAATAAAGAAGAGTTTTGCTTGTCTAAGTGAAAATGAAACATTGATTTTAACTAATGACTTTTTAAAAGGTTGCCCATAATAGTTGAAAAGTTAAAGTCATTAGAACTGGAAAATTTGACATGCATCAGCTTTTCAAATGCACGTTTTAAGTAGTGATCACTAAAAGCTTTCACGCAAAAGCTGCTTTGCAGATATTCCCCATCAAATTTAGTAACAGCCAATTATCAACCCTCCACATAATCTTGACAGAGATTTTGTTGGCAACAGATACAGGAAGCATTCAGCCTTCCACTCTTCTGCTTTAAACAACCCATAATAAGTTCCTTATCTATTCTAGGAAGAAAGAAGAGTCTCCTGTGACAGAACAGCAGCTCTCTCCAGGGAGAACAGCTACAAACAGTCCACACACCACCAGCTGTTGTTGCTTTAGAGGGACAACATTTACCCACTGAAACCTTACTCTTCCCACTTCTCAAATGCAAAAGCAGCTCCTGTGAGATTCTTCCCAGTGAGAAGACAACTTTTGTGATTCTACAAGACTGAACAAAGTGTGCTTTCCTAGATCTTCAATTAAAAAATACTAAAATAAAAAGAAATCTCATTTTGTGAGAGACTGGATTGGGTTTGCAGAAGGCATCAGCATGAATAAAGGAAGCAGGAGCAGGGCAGTAAGGACAGGCTTACCAAGGCACAGATTTATCAGAAAGCCAAAAACAACCTTGAGGGAGATGGAAGACATTGTCTTTTCCATTGAAGAACAGTTTTGGGAGGATGACTTGCCAGATTTCAAATCCAGAGCACTTCACTAATACAAAGTTTCCTATGGCTGAAGAAACTACAGCAGAGTCTCAAAACCACCAAGAAGCTTGGCAGCACTAACCAAACACTAAACCTGACACTAAAATACTGTACAGTAAACAACTGTTAAGCTTTGACCTGTGGAAGTAACATGAAATATATTTTATGGAAACAACAGAATATGATTTATGTAATGAACATTACAGATATAATGTTAAATACAAGTGTGTATATACAATTAATAATACCAAGAAACATGGAATTGTTCATCACTTCTTCAAAGTCCGTAAAGTTGCTGTTTTGTCTCTAACTCTTAACAAATAAAGTGGAATAAAAGGGAAATGGATTAAAAAAAACCAAAACACCCAAAGATGAGGCACAGAAAAGTGCCCTAGTCTAAATAAATAAGTATTTCAACAATAAAAAATTACCATACACTAAGAAGCATAGGCTGATAGGATAAAACACATAACAAATAGTAATGGAGACAATATGTATTTTATGGTTAGCACAGATCAAACCTAAGGCAATTTATTTTCAAATATATACCCAGTTCTAGCTGATATCAATGTGAATAACTGAAGGTAAAAATAAGGAAAAAATATATAGTTTGAATTCAGAGTTTGCCGAGGACTGACAGGGAAAAGGTTTTCTCCAAGGTTTTTCAAGGGGGAGAACAAGGACAAAGCCTTTTACTAGAAATGGAACAGATGGTCACTCTTGAGCAGCTTTAGCTATTTAAGAATTTACTGGTACTAGAGAAAAAAAGATGGAAAAAAAAAGGGCACAGTGAAGCAAGATGTCCTTGGCAAGGACAAAAGTCTTTGTTAAGATTTATGAAAATTAAAAAGGGCTTGAAGAATAAAATTAAAGTCACATAACTTGGGAAAGACTGCACAAAAAAAATCAGTGAAAGACCTACAAAAGTAACATTTAGTGTTCACTTTATCAGCCAAACACTAAAGAAAGATTTAAGGAAAGATCACTTGTGTTTAATCCTAAGTAAAAACATACTTTTCCTAATGGCACCTAAAGACTGACCTTGTTCATGGTAAAATCAGTGACAGAATCAATCTCTATAGGAACACCAAATATTTATTATGATTTGATTACAGACTGGAAGGAGAATAAAATTCCAGCATATCTGAAGCGTGATGAAGATTTAATTCCTGCTTAGCTATCTTGTATTTCTTATTTATAGAAAACTGGCAAATACTCTATTTAGTTCATTGTTCTAAAACTGTCATATGAAAAGTATTATAAGAAACTGAAATGTAGTCATTAAATGGACTTCACTATTATTTATTATCTAGAATTCACAAAATTGCACATACTACTGAAAAATCCTCAGCAGTCCTGACCATACTCACCATGGGGACCTGGCAGAACAAATGAGGCAATACAAAAAGCACAAACTCTCACAAAAACAATTCCTTTCCTAACAAAATTATCCAGGCTATCCTTTTACCTCTTAATGATTTATGTTCTACCCCAATTTTTAAGTTATATCTATTGGTTGTAAAGGCCATAATCTCTTTTTGATAAATTACTCTGCTCCAAAAAAGCCCAAACAACCAAACCACCTGGCTTGTTGAGTTTGGAGAAAAGGAAACCGAGGGGGAGACCTCATTGCTATCACGGCTTTCTGAGGAGGGGAAGGGCACAAGGAGCTGCTGAGGTTTTCTCCCCCGAGTCCAGTGAAAGGTTTAATGGGAATGGTTCTTTTTTAGGAAGCAATTTTTTTTTCAGAGAGAACAGCTGGACTGGATGATCACTGCGGGTCCCCTCCAGCTAAAATAAGGCCTTGAGCAAACTGGTCAAATAGGAGGTGTTCTCAGATTTTCAGTTGAAAGTCTGGATCTTAAAAGTCTTTTACCTTTAGAAAAATCCATAAAAATACTAGGGATGTTTAATGCTCTTTAGAAAAAGATGAAGTCTAGCTAGTGCTGTCAGAATTGAAATCTGAAAAATAAACTTTCTTCAACTGTAAAATGTGTCTTAATGCTTAAGCTGAACCTGTTAGTTAAGGAAAATAATCATCATTGTTGATGGAAAAAGCTACCTCCTATATTAAGAAACCTTTATTTAATCACTCTTCATACCCTGTGAGTTTATTTAAGAGAAGGAAAAACAGCCTTGCAAGTTGAATTTAATTCTGTGGTTTAATGACTAACTCATAAGTATGTGTCTTGCATTCATTTTCCAGGAATGTTAATATAGAGCTCTTAGAAACATAAGATTTGTTAACAGTCCCTGAACAATTCTTAGAGATTGTCTCCAAAATATGCTTAGTGAGTGACTACAGTTAACATCTCCAGCAGAAGTCTTCAAGATTTGGGCCTGAGGAAATCCTTCTACATTCAAAAAATACACTGAGCTTTGTCTATGAGTCTGTTACTTCAATTTTCTGCCATAGCAATAATTAGAATTTGAGTTTCTCACTTTGGTGTTTGTGTGCTATAAAATGCACTGACAGAAGGTATACCATAACTGATAGCTCTGAGTTATCCTGTCATATAAATGCCCAGGTTCCCAAAAAAAGGTTTATGAGCTATTTTCATTTCTGAAGGGAAAACTATTAGCGTAATAGTTTGAAAGCACTGAAATTATCACAAGCCCTCCCATCACCTCCCCAAATAAGAATACATCAATGATTAGCTTCGTGATATAAAAATTAAACATAGCTAACCACTGATAGCAATAAATGTAATATAGAGAACTACATTGAGGGCAAAACTGTATTTGAGGTAGACTTAAAAATTTTCTCATGTTCTTTTATCCCATCTTTATCTAAAAGATGACACCTAGACTCAGTCTAACTTACGTAAAGTCCAGCAACTATTGGGTATCATGTGAGATCGTGTGCCTTGCCCAACCACAAAAGGCTGAGATTGGAAAGGGTCTTATTCAGCCACACTAATCAGTGTTACTCCTGAAAAGGAGGCAAAAACATCTGTGTGAAATCAGCTCCTTTCTACTTCCCCTGTGAACATTTAGCTTTTAGAAAGGAGAAGAGCAAGAGAGAGAGAAAGCAGAACCTACCTACTGTGATACTCCCTGTTTTGGTCTGAAGGTTGGTATTACCTAAAATGAAAAGGGGGAAAATGTTAAAAACATTATTTTTGAAACATATTTATTTCTATTAAATATTGTTGCTTTACAAACAAAAATCTCAACACATGTGCGTAACAATTAAGTGATTCCAGACAAGAAAAACTTTAAGTCAATGACACCACCTGGATTTGAGGGAGAAAAAAAAAGTAAGAGGAATGTGAAAGGTTAATGCACAATATTGTCTTATTTTATTTTGGGCAATTTTTTCTTAATTGCTCTGCTACCTGCAATAGCACTATGGATGACTGAAATTCAATTCCATGAATAACAAACAGTTTCTATTTTCCTCTTTTATACAACTATACCCCACCTCTGCTGGAGGAAATCCTGTGTGTTATCTGCAAAGCTACTTCCTGGACCCACTCAACATTTCCTACTCCCTCCAAACTTATTCTGATTTACAATGACAACCCCTTGTCAACGTTTCCATTGACTTCAGTCAGAGTACGTTGGGCAAAGTGGAGAACATCAAACAAAGTGTGTCAGAGACAAAATGTAGAATGGTCTTCTACTGAATTTGCATCACTTTAAACAGCCACAGGTGTTCCAGCCTTAAAATTTCAAAATTCTGCCCTTTCACCCATAACATCAAGAGAATCAGGAAGGACAACAGATGTACCTTGTGACAGTATAGACATCTATAGTGACAGTATAGACATCTATACTGCTAATAGTAACTAAATTGTACAAAATTCTACAGTTCCATGTATAAATGGCTCACAGAAAATGCCTTAAATTAAAAACTAAACCACACCATGTCATCCCTGCCATTCTCTCAATCTGCCAAGAGAAAGAGAATGAAGAATAAGGCTGATCACAGAAACTGAATGCAGTTTAGTAATACACAATAGTCATAATTCTCAGATCTTTCAAAAGAGGTTTTAAAAACTGCAAATGGATTAAGCTCTACCCTGTCTTATGTAATTACACAGTAGTAAACACTGATTAGGGCAGAGTGCATTCCACTGTATATGACCTGTATTTTTCTTAGTGGTTCATGGGCTAAAAGCTAAAAAAGCAGCCTATCATCAACAATCTTAAATTTATCTTTTCAAGCTCATACTGCACAAAATAGTTTGGAGTTCTAAAAATCACAGCAGAAACAAAAGCACTTTTCAATGATCTTGAAAGATGTTTGGCTTCACTCTGTGCTGTTTTTAAAAGGTATGCTATAATTATCCCACCCTTATCCTCATTTTATCATGACTGGCACTTAGTTTGGTACAACTTACAAAAAGACCTAGGGTTTTGTCAGCCAGCAGCTCCCATGGAGCAGCTGAAGGTAGATTACACTCTGTCAGCATATAGCCCCTGGGTCTGCTCTTTGTTTATCTGGGGGTTTTCTGTTTTGATAAGTGGATCCTTGAAAAATATTCAGCATGTAGAATTCAAATTCCTTTTAGACACATACTTATACGGCAGAACCACCAATGCTGCACATCAAAACAATGTACTGGTGTGAAAAGCTCACTTCAAGCATCTAGCTAGATCAAAAGCTGCTTTTGAAGCAGACAGGAATGTCCTGCACAGAACTGCACTTTTGGTCGTGTACCTGTTCTCTGAAGGCCAGTGCTTACCTTAGGATTTTTAAGTTAGGCAAATATTTCTTGGGCATATCAAGGGCAAAGAGAGAAAGACCAGACCAAAGGTGTTTCAACCAAATAATTGATTATTACAACCAACAGATTTCAGTGTAATGCAATACTATGATATCCAAAACATAATAATTTTATCAGAGTATTAAGAGCAGTGCCCTAGTGTTTTGGGGTTTCTGAAAAAAGAGTTATCTTTTCTATCACTTACAATCTTTGCTTCTTCAATGAACATTGTAAAATTTCAAATTACTGTATTGCAATCAGGATCAGTATAGAACCAGGGACAGAAGATGGATTTTGGGATTTAAAGGCAACACTTCATGCTGTGTTATTTATATTCCTTCAATTTGTTTTGGTGGCTCTCAATAAGGCAGGATTATTTCAATGCACAAAAAGGGAAAATAAACTATTATGCAACTTTTTACCACTTCAGAAATTAATTTTATTTTCATTTCTTTATAGACATGTCTGTACTTTAGTCTGATGAAAATTTAAAATGCAAAGTTACAATTCCACTCTACATATAAAAATTAACTGAAAATCCAGAAGAGAAACCCAGAAATGTAGCTGAACTGTACAGAACACACTTAGGCATATCAAGAGGTATATTTTCTGGAGGGATCATAGAACACCAAGCTCAAGCACTGGACTGCACTATCTTTGGAAGACGGCAGATACTCTACTTTGGTCTTATTCAAGTCATTGAACTTCAAGGCAGTTGTATGTTCACCCCTTCCTGTATATACATTAGAGGGCAAATACATAAAGTAACCTCAGTAACCTTGTTTTCCAGTGTGATTCTTTTAGGTAATTGTCCTAGACTAGGACAGAAGAAAAGGCCAAGAGCAAATATAAAGTCCATCACAGGCTTTACTGATGTAAAGCAGCAAAAGCTGAGTGCTGACTGTTTGCAAGGAAGCCTTGCAGGTGAGGAAGGACCTGGGCATCTTGATGGACACCATCCCCAGTGGGAGTGAGTAAAGAAAGTCAGCTGCACACTGAGCTGTGTGATGAGTACAGACTGCAAGTAAAGCCCTCCTGTGAGGCTGCACTTAGAATATTGTCTCCAGTTTTCAAGTCAAAAAAGACACTGGTGTACTTAACTAAGGCCAGAGAAGGCTATTGAGAAGATTAGAGACCCAGGCCAAGCTACAGATGCTCTGAAAGCATCTGTTTGTTTTGCTTTAAAAGGAGGAGTCTTCTTGTGGCCTTCAACTAGCTAATGGGAGGGTATGGAGGAAAAAAAGACATTCTTCTCCTGGTGATGCAGCAAGAAGGAAGAAGCAATAATGGATACAAGTCATAATAGAAATTATGATTTTTATAGTTTTTTCCCCACCTTTCCAGAAGAATAATTCAGAGTGGACCAAGATTTCCAGAAAGGTCATACAACCTCTGGACCTGAAAATACTCAAAGCTCAACTAGACAAGGCCTTGAGCAAGCTTGGTCTAACTGAGCCCACTTTAAACATTATTTGGGAAGGATTTTGATATCTAGTCCAAATTTGAAGTAGATTTATAAAATAAATTAGTAGTTAATGCAACTCAACCCAAGACTTTGGGACTGCTGCAAAGAGGGGTTTCCTGTTCCTCCCATGTGACCCTTGGTAAAGAAGGTTCACTGTAATGTTATTGTCTCTTAAATAAAGAAATTTCACAGGATCAAATTTCTTTTTCAGGTGTCAATTCAAAAGCTTAATAGCACCTAATATCTCTAATGCCTCTTACAGAAGCTGATGAAAATGGCCCAAAAACTAACGCCCTTCAGAACAATGCATTACTCATTTGCTACAGGAGCATGAAGCATGCAAACAAGCAGCTGTGAAAGTTTGAGCTCTACCAGTGTCATGATTGTACAGCCTGAGTTTCAACCACAAAATGTCTCAGACAGGTTTGTAAAGTCTGTGCTGCCCTAACTTCAATTTTCCCAGTGCAAAAGCAGTGAAATCTAGCTTAGTTTCGTGCAGGATGTGCTGATGTGATGCCATCTATATTGTCAGCTGTAGGGAAACTAACTTTTGTCTGTGAACACCTGGACCAGATTGTTTCTTGGGAAACTCCTGCAATTGAGCTACCCCATGAGCAACAATCAGAAATCAAAGTAACCATTTTTTTTCTAGCAGAAATTTATAATAGGAGCTCTCTTGTCTGCTAATAAGTGTTTGTATGTGTACTTTAAAAGCCTCTGCTCTAACTATTAAAATATGATCGGGGAACATGGTATTTTACAAAAAAATATTTTTTCCCAAAAAAATAGGGTAAAATTACCAAACAAATGTTAATGTGCAATTTTTTTTAAAAAAAACATACAGCTAAAATAACATTAGGTGTTCCAAACCCATTCAGTAGAAAGGTCATAAAAATAATCCTGAAGTAATGTAAGAAATGTCTGCATAATTTGGATACAAGTCTATTTGTTTTCACATTGTTCTTCACCTTAATGGCAACAGGCATTACTGAAGGAAGTATGTTATTAACTACAGCACTTATGATTTCTTTTTTATAACAAGAAAATAAAACTAAACTCTTGGATGTGCACATGAACCTGCTCACAAATTGATCACTTGACAATATCAATAAAAGTTAATTAAAGAAAAAGCCAAACTAGCATGGCTTATCAGACAGAAGTTCAGGAAAAAATAAAAGTCCACATGTTAGAAAAATACAATAACAAGAGAAAGAGCAGCTTATTTCTGTCGGTGCATGCTGAAATTAACTTTACCTAACAGGTTTAGAAACCATTCTCACATTTAATATAAATGGACAGAGGACTTGTTCCTTCAAGGAATAAAGAAGTCATTCTTCAAGCAAGATGACAACATAAAATTGCTAAGAAATTGTAACAAATTCTTTTTAAGGGATATAGCTGAAAATCTGGAACTTTGACAGAGCTGAGTAATTTTCTTTGTACATGCTCCAGTTTGTTTTACTCAATGTTAAATCACCACAAATGCATTACAGCAGCATCTGAATTCAGTGGGAGTTTTGTTAAATTAGAAAACCACACCAGATTTGAACCTCAACTGCTGCTTAAATAAAAGACTCAGAGTTTATTAGTTTTAGATCTGGGGGAAGGACACCAAAGGGTGGATGGATCAGAGACTGCTAAGAAGTTCTAAGAACTTCTAAAAACAGAAACTGTCACCACTCTTAATATAAGGTGCCAGCAAACACACAGGCCATTTCTAATAAAAACTTCTAATTATGACTCTCTCCTACAACAGCTCTTTGTAGGTGATCTGTCCAAGAGTTGCTTCTCCTATGGAGAAAATAAAGGATGGGGAGAGGGGAAGAGAAGCCTCCTGACAACTTTAAGTATCATTTTAACTGCTAAGTATTAGAATACTTTGATGTTCTTAGTATGTGTGACATTCTTTCCTATAATACACACTTTTTGCTATTAATAAGTGTGCTTATGAAACTGTTTTGAAAAATACAGTCTGCTAGGTGGCAAAAAATCAATTAAGGCTCTAATAGAACTGTTCTGCTCATATACTGTGCACAGCTGATTTAGTGATAGTCTACTGCATTAGTGCATTTGTTACTGTGAACATTACTGAACACCTTCAAAGCAGCTTAATTTGTGACACATCTTCGTTCTTACCATGAACACTTCCCAGCATAATATCACCAGATTCTGAAGAGAGAGATGCTGATTCTGCATAGAGATACTTCGTTTTCAGCAGCCCATCTTCAGTAGATATATTGATGGTTGTCCCCTGCAGCTTTTCTATATTTACACTCTAGGAGAAATAAACATAATTGAAAATTTGTCATCACAGCTTGAAAAAGCAGTGGGAAGTAACACTATTAAGACACAAAACAAATGGAAAGCAGTTGTTAGTGCAGGACAAATGGAATCAGGTTCTTAGTTAAAAGCTACACAAGACAAAACAAAAAAACCTTTTCATCCAAGACCTCTGACTTAAGGACTACTGAGTCTTCACAACATTCCTATGAGTTATTGCATCCATCACTCAGGTGAAGAACCCAAGTTGTCACAAACAGATGAAAGAAAAACTTGATTTAATTTTCAAAAATTAAACACTTCATTTTGAAAAGCAGAAGAAGGATTAACTTAAATTATGAAGACTGGATACAGCATGATGACACTTAGAGCATTGGTGATCAATTTTCTGCCACCTCAAACTGAAACATCAACTGTCTTTCTTACATGCAGCTATTTATGAAGATTTTTAACTGGCTTACTTTGTACATATATCTTTGGTGAAGGTTTGCAAAAAAGCCCCACCCAGCTGCCCTTTTTCTCAGCATAATCTTCCTATTACCTTGGTTACTCACGCTTCTATTCTTGGACTTAAGCCTCAAGACAGACAAATCCTTGAAAAACCAGGGATAAGATCTCCATTTCTACTTCTTTTCAATAGAAACAGAGAGAAAGAATAGAATATGAGAAGTTACACTATGGATTTGGGAAGTAAGAGGTGACAAGTGAGATTATCTATGTAAAAGTGATGAGCCATGTGGTATAACATCAGTCTATTTGAACAAAACAGAACAATTCACATGCTTGTGCAACAACCATATGAGACTGAATTCTATTCTCAGTTAAATTTGATTTATGATAGGAGCACGCAATAGTTCCTACTTGGACCCACACTCAATTTGTTTTTGTTTTGCTTAGACTTGCAGTGAATTTCACAAAATCCATACCCGTTATATGAAACTATATATGACTTTCCAGATCAAACTGTGCCTTGCTCAAATTATTTTTAAAACTTCCTTGTCATTTTAGCACTGCCATCCTGTGCAAAAAAAGTTGATATAAAAAAATAAGTCTGTCAACCCTTCCAGTCTAATATTATATAAAGAATAAGCTACGGATGAAGAAGTATTCTGACTAGTGTTGCACAAACTCAGTGCTGCGCTGTATCCCAAGAGCTGAGCTGAAGAGGGTGGTTTAGTATGGACTATATGACAGCCAAATTATACTGTGGCCTTACCCATCCATTCATACCGAACTACTAAATTGTAAGATTACAGAAGAGACTACTGGCTTAAGAGTTTTCCCATGATGCTACAATACAGATTAGATCTCCAATAATTTAGCAAGATACATTAAACTTTAAGAAAATCAAAATGCTATGCATAATTCATGGTACAATTGGAAATCCATGACAGTCAATGTCTACAGTCACTGCAGGTGCTGCTGCTTAGGGCTATGCTACAGATGGAAACAAAATCCAGTAATACAAAGCACAACTTGTCACTACTAAAACAGACAGCAAGTCAGCTTTTCATCATCTGCTGCTTGCAACAAAACCCTATTAACCAGAGATCTTAAACATTAATTTACATTGCATGTGCCCTAGGAATATTTCCCACAAAACAGCCCCCCACTCCCTCACCCTGCATGGCAAAGCACAAACCTGCTCTGACACGTGGCCACAGCCACAAGTCAAGGGAAAGCCACTCTCCCTTTAGGCGTTATGATCAAACCTGTTCTAAGAGTTAAATGACTTGCAAAGAAAGAACATTTCCCATTTGAGCAGGGCCATCGCTGATATCAGCACACTGAAAATAGAGCAAAGCACACTTAAAAGGGGAGGAATAAAATGAAAGTATCTGCATAGTTTGGATACAAACTCTCTGCCTTGTAGCATTACTAAGCAGGCAAAGGGAAATTCAAAAAGCTACCTCTCTTACTATAGAATGCAAGTTTTAACTCTATTTAGACATATTGTTTTACTTAAAAATTAAGTGCTTTATTGTAAACAATCTCACATACCAACTAATTTACCAGCCTCACCTACCTTTCTTAAAATTGCACAGTAATAAAAAGAGTTGTCTCAGCTCCAGATCAAAAGAAGTTACTATGAACAGTAAAACAAAAACTACCAACACAAAGGATGTTTGTTTCAGAACAACCCAAATCAGAGTAGGGGCATGGAGGAGGGGAAAGTCAGACTGCTCAAGTATAAGAATAAGAAAGTATTTTAGATAGGGAAAGCATGGAAAAAGAGGATTGCTTTTCAATGAAAATAAATACGTTTTCAATCCCAAATTCTTTAACTCTTGTGGATTTTTGGCAGAACATAGATGTCTGGCTCTATAAGCAAGTGTTATAGCAAAGTCCCCATGGCTCAGATTAGCCAATAACTCCCCAGCAAAACAAATGTCCTTATTTTTGTCCATTGAACCACCAGATCTTCTGGAAAAAATTCCTTCCCTTGGGCATAGAGCCTCGGGGGCTGCAGTTACTGAAACTGACCACATGCTCAAGTTCCACTGGTTTCATCTGCCTAAATCAGACAGAGAAGGTTTTATACCTGAACACATTTTCAAGATAAAAACTAGTATATTTTTGTGTTTATAAGACATATACAGCTTCTTCTCCACAAATTCATGCTCTTAGCCTTCCTTTTTGAGCTATCATTGTTCAAATGTTTTACTAGTGTCTTCTCCCACTTCCTCCCTTAAAAAATATTCTTCATTTCTCAAGTGCTTAATGCCTTTTACCACATCCTCTCCCTCCCCACCTCCAGGAGGGGGCTGGAAATGCTGACAGAGCCATAATTACATGATGATGACTGCAACTGATGGAAGAAACATCTCATACAAACACACAGAGGAGACATAAGGCTGACTGATTATTAACAGAAGTGGCCAGTTGAGAAAAGAAATCCGTCCTTCCTAAATACACTACAAAGTTTGTTAGTGAGAAGTTCAGTAACATAAGCCAAAATATTGCTCTGTAGCTGTGAATTTGTGCTAAAATTACTCATTTCACTCAAGTTACTACAGCTTGACAGCTCGAAGATTGACCTCTTGTAATATTACACACTGTATGCAAATATTCGTGATCACAAAGAAGCACTTCAGCTTAATCTGTACAGTATTTGTTTTACTGTTTCAGAAGGATGGTGTTTCTGAAAAGGCTCAATTTTTTAAAAAGCACTTAAAGGCTCAAAGTAAAACAGTTTTCTATATGAACTGTATTTTCCCATACAGATACAATTATTACATTTATTTCATAAAAGGCAGTCCAACACTCACAAAGAAACACAGATACATTAATGCTGACAGTTTTTGGAAAATCCAATGGCAAGCTGCTTAGTTTACAGCAGGATATTAAGAACAGCTCACAGCTAGCTCTAGCAAAGTGAGCTGATCTGGGAACCCAACCTGTAAGGTGTACAATAGTGCCAAACAGCACTTCACAGAGATTACTTTGGATGCCTGGAATTTAATAGTTTGGTCTCAAATCTGTCCTTGGCAAGGGAGGGTTACCCCCCACTGCCTGGTTCTTCCCAGTGCTGTTGGTTTTAAGGGTACCTATGGATTCTGACAGATCAAACGTCCAAGCTACTGCCAGACTCAGCTTGGCTCCACATGCTCATACAGCAACACCCCAGATCTAATGAATCCTAGTGCAACCAGTTGCATGGACATTACAATACCTAAAACCAAGACTGGGTACGAGAACCACAAGGAATTTAGCTCTACATTATTTTAAATAAAGGAGAATTGCCTGCTTATGCCAGGAAACAAAACCAGAGTGCAGTAGTTTGTGGTTAGTCTCATACTGCCATCTACTGTAAAAAACCAAGCTAGTTCTCTACAAAAATGTCCTCTTTGTGATTCTTCACACTGCATCTCATAGCAAGACTATATGTGATTATATTAAGTCTGCAAAACCTTCTACTCATCCATTCTTATAACTATGTAACACTAGAAGAGTACAGCATTTACTAATATCAAGCCACTATCCACAAGGCACTAAATTAAACTCCGGAGCCTTCTGCAGAATCCAAGTGCCTACATATTAGCCAAGGAAAGATGTTGTGAGGGGTCTATATAATTAAAGCTGATGGGTTTTATCAGTAGAACAATCTCTGTACTGATGGAATGATCACTTATTCCTGCTTTCTGTGAATCCTGTTTATCAATCCAAATCAAGCGTAGGATAATATAATTTACCAGACAAACCTAAGAAACAGTGAAATCACAACCAATGAGGGTTATTTACATATTCTTCAGAACATTCTTTGAATTTAGTCCTTTTACAAGAAATGAGGACAATAAGCCATTGAAGAGAAAGTTTTACTTCCTACTTACCCCCTTTTCTGTTGCACAAATATCTGTATTTCCATAAAGTGTTCCAAGACCAATTACTTTGCCACCGTTTGTCCGTATATCAATTTTATGGCTCTGAAAAAAGTTTAAAAATCAGTTAGGATAGCTTCTTTTCTAGTTAGGGTTATCTTATTTCTCAAGTTGTACCACATTAACCACTGCAAGCCTTAGTCCTGCAAGCAGAACCAGATTCTACAGTGTTTCACTGCACACAAATTCTAATTAAAATTGTTTTGTATAAGGAAAATCTCAAGTTTTTAACTAATAAGCCAGGTTCCAAGTAAAAACTTCTTCATAGCTCTTATACCCTTTCAGCTGTTGCTGCATACAACCAACAAGAAAAAAAAAAGTACAAATACACATAAACCAACCTCAAAATGCCAAAAAAACCCCACCAGATCTTGAGAATAAAATGCAACCATTTGTAAAAAGAAAAAAATATTGTAAAAATCAGATTTAAATTAATAGATTGTTCTCTCCTTATACATGATGAATTAATTAAATGTTTCAATGTGGCATCACAGTTCCTTTGAGGCATAATGCTTGTTATCAGAATAACAGTTAAACAGCAAATCCTCCAAATATGTAACTCTGGAGGAGACTGTGGGAACTTGCAAGACTGGAAAAATTAGTCTATAGCAAGGGCTCACCAGCGTGGCCACAGATAGGTTCAGTAAAATAAAACTACAACACACACACCAATTCCCACCATCCCAAATTATTAGAATATCTTCCTAAAAAAATACCAACCAGGCTTTCAGAAGTAAGTATCTCTAGAGACACCTAACAGACAGAAGGATTTGCTGAGAGAAGAAATCAGTTACAGTGGTCAAATAGCTTTTTCACTAAGCGGAAATATTCCACCAGCTGAAAGAAAAAAGCACTGATTTTTTACAGGGCTTCTGCAAGCAAGGGAGAAAGGGTTGAATAAGGAAGAGGCAAAAGGCTGTCAAGACCTTAACAGATGTCAGAGGAAAACCAGAAAAATTTGCTCAGGAGAAGAGGAGGAGACTGATGCAGGATGAATCAGGTTCAGACATGGGGAGTGGTGAGGAAGCATAACAGTGTGAGTGAGGTGCTTGGAAATTCTTGTTATCACCAGCATAGTGAAGGAGTCAGGAGTAATTGAGGAACATGGAAACATAATTAAAGGGTCTTCCTGGTGGCACTGTCGTAAATAAGCATGACAAAAAAATTTAAAAGAAGGAGCACTACTTTCTCAATAAAGAATTCATGAATTATTCATACTCTGAAGAAGACCTAAATGCCATAACTGTATTTTGGAATTTCTGTTGCTATCAGTTGACCGAGAGACTTGGATGGGATAGGGTGAACTGGACTTCTGCCAAATGAAAAACAACCACCACCCAAAAAAACCCAACCAACCAACCAAAAAAAAAAAAAAATATCAGTAAAACCACCCTCGACAAATTGCACTGGCTGGAGGATGTCTGCCAGAAAAAAAAACTTTAATAAGCCTCCTAGAGACTCCTTCTTTCTGTTCAATTACTAGTATGCATTATTAAGCAAAGTAGATGTCAAATCTCTTAAGTCTTTTGTAAAGACACTATAGATTGTATTAAAAAAAAAAACAAAAACATGTTCTTTCGAATTACAATTTATACAAACAACTTCTTGCAAGTTAAGAAAATTAGGAGTTGTGAAGCTGTTTGCTGGTGCTCTTGAATAATCCCTACATGACCAGATTTTTTAATTTAAAGTCATTTATCAATGACCTGTTTTTCTCTCCTGTAAAGAAAGGGTCTCCTGATTTGTTAGTTAATGAGGTTTGTTAATGACAGCGAACCAACATTAAAACTTTAATCCATCCAGAGGAGGGCACTATCACTTCAGCTTGCTCAGTAAAGCAAATTCCCTAACAGGGAATCAGCTCTTATGCTTCACTACAGCATCAGGTCCTTAAGATTTTTAGTAGTTTTAGAAAAGCCCTGAAGGCTAATACTTCTGTTTCTCCCAAATAATTCTGCTCCCCTGATAATACAGAATATAATTCCTGAAGCTTTAGTAGAAAAAAGTAGTTCAGTCATCTTACTAAAACCACAGTACTTAAAAACAAGATTAGACTAAAACCCAGCTCTTAATTTTTAAAATTCAAGGTATTTCCCATCTTGGATTCTATTTGAGACAAGATTCCCAGAAGTCAGCAGTCTTTCCTCAAAACCATCTTTTTCCATGACACCACAAAAAATTCTTGATGTAATGGCATGCCATGATAAATGTCATTACTGCTGGCCAAAACCACCTTGACCTTCTCTTATTATGCAGTTTCTCATGCACTGTTGTTGTCATTACTACACAAGACTAATTTTTAATGAAAAATTTAGATGGGCATCACATAGTACTATTAACTTCTGTTAGATTTTAGGTTCCTTTATAAGAGTAAAATGGTCAATCACACAGAATGTGGAAGGTTCAAGTTGTCTATAGTTTCCTAGATGGAGAAGAAACCTAGTCTATTGTATACTACACCCCTCCCTAAGCTCAGTATTCCCTACATCTGTTATAAAATCATCTCTTACCACATTAAAGTATTGAAAAATTTTTCTTATCTCAAAAAAACTGGCCTTTCTTTTGAATTTATACCAATTCCTGCAGGTGCAATGCCAAACAATCGAGTGAATTTGATTCCAAATAGCACCTAAGTCAGATAAACTGTGATGAATTTCACAACAGCAAACAAAGTGTTAAGACTGAAAAGACAAGGTCATGCCTATGATACATACAGTATATATCAGATCTATTTCAGTCAGGTATTTTGGATATGTAATATGCAACTTCTGATTGAAAAGTAATTTAAATGGATTGTCAAAAGCTGTTATACCAATTATTAAAAAAAACCACAAAAAACAAAAAACCCACATGTACAAAAAAATCAGCAGCATGTCTCAAAGTCTTGATTGAGCAGGCATAGCTATTATTAACCTACTAGGCAGGAAATCCCAGTCAATTTTTTTTTCCTTTGAGGGCAGGGAAGACAAGGATCAGGCTTACTGCTGTCAATGCTTCTGCTGGCTTTGGCTATCACAGATACATGGACTTCTGACTCCACCTTATTTACTGCTATTTACTTTGTGCTGCAATTGTACGCAATAATGAAAGGTGAGGTGCTATACACATAGCAATATGAGTGTTGCAATGAGAACTATCAGAGTACTTCTCATCTCCGGAACTTGTATTTTTGACATTATATACCACTACACAATCCATTTTCAAACAGTAGGGAAGGGTTCTTTGTACCTTTATTGACTGCAAGACACTAGTCCCCTTCTCTGTTTCTATTTTGCAGCTATCACATACTATTTTCTGAATCTTCACGCAGCCAGTCCCTGATGTTTTGATATCCAAATCTAGAATTAAAAGAGTTTTATTAGCAACAGAACAAAAGAGTCTTTAAATGTAATATTTTAAATATTTTTAATGTTGAAGTATTTGATCATGTTATACAGTAACCATATGTAGTAAGGAAAAGAGCAGCTTCTTTGTTACTTAAGAACCTGCGGCTGTGTCTGGCCATGCACTTTGAACAGCCTGAGTAGTCACTACCAACCATGGACACTGAAAGTTTAGTAAGCCAGTGTTTGAGCCATTCAGCTCCAAGACAGAACATTAAGAAGCAGAGTGACTAACCTGTGGCAAGGAATCAGGAGGGTGTGAACTTTTAGTGAAGTCTCATCTTTCTTCAACTCCACCTCCATCTCCTAGCCACCCATTCCTTTAGAAATTCTACTTAGGACATTTGGGCACCCTGACACACATTTTGGGGTAGAAGGTTGGCAGGTGTCCGAGGCCACATGTAGAGTAATAAGGCTCAACAGTACAAATACACAGGCCTTGCTGCTCCATTAGCCAGCACCAGAATCCAAAACCAGGCAGAGAAGTGTTGGTGTGCGTCATCCTCCCCAGCCGTCTAGAAAGCCTGACATTCCCCTGGCATGAAGAAGCATGTTTGCCTCCACAGTCTGAGCCACCTCACCTTGCAACTGTACATGGACTCCCACAAAGAAAAATCACTAGGTCTTGTAGATAAGGGGCAGGAAAAGCATTTTTCTGCTACTTGTCTCACCCTTGGGTTTAAGAAATGAAAGGAGTTTGACAATGTACAGTCTGGGGATTCTGTGTATATTAATAATAATTTCTATTAATCATTTGTATAAATGACCACCATAGTGGCTGCCAAAAAAGTAAAGGCAGGAGAGGAAAGAAGTGATTTTGTTCTTCTAAGAATAAAAGGCAAAAAAAGAAGAAAAACTGAATAGCAACCAGAAGTGTTTGCTGCAAGACACAACTGAAAGACTAAGAGACAGTGAGCCCCATTACTCCCTAAAGGAAAGGAGATTATTTGGTAATGAAACCTCCATTTAAGCAAATGTGAAAGTCTTTCCTTCACTGCCACTGCCTGCTAAGGGTATCAGAAAGATGAAAAGAATAATTGGAATGTGCAAAAGCTTTGTTCCAGGGAGATTGCCAAGCAAGACCCACGGTCCAGCAGAGCCTGAAGATCAATACTGTCCCACTGCTGCCCAGGACAGGTGCTTCCTGGAACCATGACAACAGTAAGCTTGCAGACCATGAAGACGAGAGACTGAGAGCTCCAATTAATAACAAATGGAAGTTTTGTCACCTGGCAAATGAGGAGAATCCAAGGGACAGAGCTAAAACAGACCATCTTTTTAGCAAACATGCTATCTTACGGCAGCAGTAAGCCAAGAGGTTAAACTTAGTGAAGGAAGTAGATAGCATTCAAAGGTAACAATTCCTTAACAAGAAAAAAAGCTACAACAGGTAGACTGGAAAGCAATGTTGTTTTTGAACAAGCTGTCTTTCCCAGACTGCTTAATTCACCCACTGAATTGGACAATGGCAGGGTGCTTGGGAAGGTCTACAACAAAGACTCTTGCTAGTTTGCTTTCTGAGAAGAGTCCCAAAAGCCAGTTTGCTTGTGCAAATCTTTGAATTCAATCAGCTTGAAACTCTCCTGCTCTTACTGCATCTGTCAAAAGGGATGAGGAAAAGACCTGACAGTCCTCAGTTCAGCCATGCTACAAATTCACTAAGACTTTTACAAGAATAAGGGTAATAAAAAAACTTCTGATCCTGTACAGCATATTACTGCCATCATTTGAAAGGTGGGTTAGTAATGTAATCCTAGCTATCAAAGATGGGTGCAAAAAGAGGGCCCAGAAGTTTGAAAATTCATGAACAAGTCATTAAGAAACACCAGGGACTTCTGGAAATACACTTTGTGCCTTGATCCTCTGCAGAGTCACACCACTTTGCTAGCCTTGATATAACAAAAACCAGTGGACAAGGAATTGAGCCCCTCTGACTCTTTGCCTCTGAGTTCCTGAACCAAGGACAAACAACTCCATAAAGAAGCAGACTGAAAGCTGGATAATATTGCCAATGAAATTTTAACAAGGAGGAACAAGATACAATCTGTTTCGGTGCCAAAACTCAAAAAATAGCCAGTTTGATTCCTCCCTAGCAAAGACAAGGGCTGAAGCCAACTTTAGCCACATAAACCACAAAGAATGCATGAAGTTCTTTGTGGTGTTTGTATCAGAAATAAAGGTATACAGGAAAAAGAACACTTGGATACCAGAATGTAGGCAGAGGTACCCTAGGGCATTTAAGCACCCTTCTTATTAAGCTGCCTTAAGTTATAATACTTGAAATAAACTGGATAATTATTTATTTTCAGATGACTCAGCAGCCCTGGACTACTAGAATGATCTCAAATTATGGTTATGCAAGCTCTCAGTTCAGTTTACTTCTGTGTACTCATGCAGTCAATGTACAGTAGCCAGAAATCAAAGAGCTGGTTTCAGGTTTAATTAACATATGCAAAAATAAATAAGCTTGATTAAGCAGAAATTCCTTGACTGAATCTGCCATCTATGAAGGCTAAATGTATCAGAGAGGATTATCAGATCATGTATGATACAGAGCTCAAAACTAGATACTGAGACAGAGAGAGGATCTTTTGGTACTTGCCCTACTTTGGTTTAAAATGCATACTTAAGCTCAGCATTTTCTACACATGCTCTTCATTCAGGGTCTAAGGAGTTTTTGGTAAGTTGCAGCTTCCTGGATAAGCTCCAACCTAAATTGCAAAAGCTGTTATGAAATGCCTTAACTTCCAAAGTGAAGAAAACAAAACACTGAAAAGAGATTCACATCAACCTCTCAACTTCTTACAGCTTAGTGACTGATAGAGCTCAGGAAAAATTGTCTAAGCAGAACAGAGTTAACGTCTTGCTCCCCCATCCAAGGAAAGCCAGAGAAAAGCCACAGTATTTGCAGAGTTCCTTTCCAGTTTGAGATGTGTTTTTACAAGGGATAAGATCTTTTGCTTATGCAATGATATTTAATGGATAATTCTTTTCTAAATAAATAAATAGAGCAACTCAAGCATAAACTAATACTCAGAAGATCAAAAAAACAAACCAGAGCTGAAAGGACACTTAAAAGTAGAAACTCAGTGGCAAGCAAAAATTCTAATTCACTGGGTAAAAACTTAAAACACTCAAACCCCACAACCTTACATTTTTGTAAATATATCTCTAGATGCACCTGGATGACAGCACAGTACTAACATCGTGCTAATTATGGGATGACAAAGAGCAACTTGTGTAAGGACATAATCCACAGATTGTCCAGGGAACCTGAATTGCATGAGCTTACCACAAACCCAAGTGGAACAGCTTAGAAACCAACAAAAAAAAGAAAACCTGTTTCAAGATCAAAGCCCCTAAGATTGTCTGCAGTTTTGGCTGACATTTCTGAATATAGTAAGAATTTCAAAGACAGGACAAAAGCAAAATGATTGTTTTCCGTCTATCAGGATTCAGTATCAAGACTTTTAGGAAGGTTTCCTACATTGAAACCCTTTATGAAGGCTGAAATTCTTCACATCTTAACACAATGAATTCTGCACCTCAAGAATAACCAGCTCTGGAGTGACTTATAATAGTCACTCAGAGATCCTGGAGAAACTGAAATAGTAAAGGACCACAGTACCCAGACACACCTGATATGAGAGAATTGAAGGGTAAATGGGACACTGGTTTGTTTAATTCTCACTAATTATGGGATGGACTGTGTGAATGCTACAGACAAGCCAAGGTAAGTGCTTGCCATGTAAGGGAGGGAAAAAATAAAAAGAGCTGTAAGATAGCAACTGCAGAGTTAAGACTACAAGACTCTTGGAGAAGACAGTCCAGCTACCGTTCAGTGACAGAGACAACGAATATAGAGGTAACAGATGATCTGTTTAAGAGAACAAACTTGGGATTTTCAAATATCTTTAACAATATCCTTAGTTCCATATTGTCTTTCAGCTATAAACTATGCACCATCTTCAACAGTACAAGAAGTTGGAAATCACCACAAATAGCAAGGTTGAAAACTTTTATCAATGACACCAAATTTTTCAGACTAGTTAAAACTCACTGACAAATTACAGGAGGACCTTGGAATACCACATACTCAAACGATAAAATAGCAGGAAATTAGCAGGGATTGTGCCAGGAGTTCACCAGGAAGCTCTCACCCTGAAACTGTTTCCATGTATAAAGGGACATTCAGCAGAGAGATCCACTGAGGGGTTGAGCTGTATCAGGCTCTGAAAATCCTGTGATGAAAAGAGTTGACATCTAAGAGAATGCTTAGATGAAATACAATTTACATTTTTTCTGTTCTTACTCTTCCCTGAGCATCTGTTTATGACCAGAGACAGGGAAGTGGGCTGCTGGAGTCATGGGATTCCTCATGGGAGGAATGAGTACAACCATTCTAACAGAGGAAAGCACACTGAGGGCAGGAAGGGTGAGATTACATGTACAAATATTCTGTATTTAATTACAGAATATTTCTGCATATATTAGTTTCTAGGAAACAAAACAAACCCTAAATTGTGATAAAAATACTTAAGAAACACCCCTTCAGTTATAAGCAGTGTTAAAAAAAAAAAAAAGAAAAGTAAATTATAGGGATGAGTAAGAGTGGAAAATGAGAGTGATGTTATGTCAAACCCATAGGGCTTCTCCATTTTAAATTGTACACAGTTCAGGTCCTTCTAAAAGAAAACAAGGTAAAAAAAAATAAAAAATTGCAGAATTTTCCCTAAGACACAGGGCTGGAAAAAAAATGAAGTAAGATAAAAGGGGCAGAATATCTTTGCTGTATGTGACATCTTAATCTACAAAAGTCTTAGATTAAATGTATTAAGAGTAAGTAAGGTGGGATTATTCATCATTTCTCATATCACAACTGCAACAGAGCTTTAAATGAAATAATGCAGTAATCTTCAATAACTTTAAATGAAACAAGAGACCAGGTGCATCAAAAAGTTTTTTTCATCACGGTGAAACATTCTGCACTGTATAGAAAATTGCCCAATTCCATAGGAAAAAACCAAAACCACATTAATGACTGAATACAAATCTCCGAGTTTGTAGTCCCTAAACTTAGGGCCCCTGTCAGAACTTCACCGCCAGCTCAGCAGAGATGTTAACTGGCTTCAGCCACTACAGCTGCTCTCCCAAATTGTGCTCCATACAAGAAACCCTGCACAGATTACAGTCCGGTGCCCAAAAAAGATAATGAAACACTTGTACTGGACAAGGGAGTCCTTCCTGGTATTTCACCTGTATCGTTACCTTTTGCCCCTGCGGACAGCCACTCAGCGTAACAAACGCCAAGGGAGCTGCTGGATCCCAGCATGCCGAGGACGCTGCCTCGGAGCCGAGTCCCTTTGGAGCAGCAGCTGCCAGATCACAAATGACAGTGCTAACACCAGCCCAAGTGTTAGCACTAACTGCTGCTGGCAAAAGGGCCAGCAACAAATCGCGTATCCAAACACCCAGGAAGTCCAGGAACACAGGAAGCAGAACGGGATGTTCTGAATCAGCGCGCCCGCGATGCCGTTTCCCAACAGGGGCTTCCAGCCAAAGCAGCAGCGCCAGCCCATCCCCGGTGGGATGCCCCGATACGTGCGCCTCCCCCGCACTCACCGAACTTCACCGGCGTCCGGACGTCCACGGCGGTCTTGCTGTCCAGGCCGTCCGCCACGATGGCCACCTGTCCCAGCGCCTCGTCGTGTTCCACCCGCACCGGCTGCCGCTCCCGCCCGCCACGCCCGGGGCTGCCGCCGCTCACGGCCACCAGCAGCCGGTCCGCGCCCGGGCAGCGCTGCGGGTCCAGGGGGCGGATGCTCACCTGGCACGGCAGCCGCACTCGCAGCCGCCCCCGCGGGCTCACCGACAGCGCCCACTCCCGCGGCGGGGGCGGACCGGGGCCGCTGCGACCGCGGCGGGGGACGGGCGGCGCCCACCTCCCGCCCGCCGCTCGCACAGCCAGGGCCGCCCAGCGCAGCGCTCTCATTGCCGCCGCGGGGTCGGAGCGCCCGGGACGGGACGGACGGGATAAGGCCGCTCCTGGCAGGCGGGCGGCCGTGACCCCCCGGCCGGTCACGTGGCGCAGCTGCACGCGGGGAGCGGCACCGGCACGGCCGGTAAACAGGCGGTAGCTCCGCCGCGGAGCTTCTTGGGAGCCGTAGTTCTGCAGCGCGCGGAAGGAACTACAGCCCTGCCCACGGGCCTATCGGAGAGCGGGGAGGGCGGGGCATTGCCGAGAATCTGCTGCTATTGGGCGGCGGTGCTGGACTCCGGAGCCAATCAGAAGTGGGAGCGGCTGAAGCGGGCGGGAGGCGGTGCGCCGATCGCCATAGCGACGGGGACGCCGCTGGGTCGGGCTGGGCTCTGCGGTGGCCGGGAGGGACTCGAGGGGACCGGGACCGGGACCGGAGCTGGGGCTGGGGCTGGGGCTGGAGCCGGGTCCAAGAGGGCCAAAGCCGGGGCTGCGACGTCGAGGCGGGAAGTAAGTCAAGCAGCGCCGCCACAGCCCTGTCTGAGGAGTCCCTGAGGGCCGGGAGTGTGACCCCCGCGCGGGGCCCGGGGCGGTGCCGTGTCGCGCGTGAGGAGACGGGGCAGCCTTCACTTCGCTGCACTAAACCTACAGGGAGCCCGCTAAAATGTCCTCGGTCAGCCGGTGTAGCAGTTTGGCAGATGTGTTGGAAAACCAGTTATTTGTTGGTTTTTTCTTTTAAGTGATATCACAAAGCACCAGAATTGCTCTCTGTCAGTAAGTTTTGGTCAATATGTTATGTGCTGTACTGCTTTTTAGCAGTTCTGAAGCCAAGCAAATAAATATTTTCCTGAGCTCTTGTCCTTACAGGGTTTACAAACAAGCAGGGAACCACTTAATTCGGTTTAAAAGACTCTTCTGGACTTCATAGCCCACATTATCATCGTATAACAATTTTTAAAAATTAGGTGGGGCATGTGGGCAATAGATGATGTACAGTCAGGGGGTGAGTTCTTGTGATAGTTGTCTTTTACTGCCAATAATGAGAGAGAAAAATACACAGAAAGCTGCATTGTCTTAGCAAGATTGCAACACAAGAAATAATGAAATCTGGGCCTGTTACTTAATTACTGTCTCCCTTTTGCACTCCATGTGTTTGTTTTTCATAAATAACCATGCAAGCATGATATTTAGTCATCAAATACTTTTCATCTCATTAGCCCTATTTCCATTTCTGTCACTGTCTGTCTTTGATTATTTATGAATCTGAAATGACCTCAGTGGCCAAGAGGAAAGAAGATGGCTCTATTTTTTTGGTCCATCGGTAATTTTCACTCTGGAAAATCTAATGAAGATTCATATTCATAAAAAATGTTCTACAAGTTAAATTATTTCATTGGTTTGCATTACTCAGTCACAAAAAATCATTAGGTTAAACACAAAAAAGGCCAGCCTGCTTTATGATAGTCTAGAATACAAAAATTGAAATCTAGAAAGTCAAAAAAGTATCAAGAAATATCTTGGGACATGATGGAGGCTGGAAGGGATTTTTTTGCAATTCTTCAGAAATAGTTGATTTTGGGGAAAAAAATCTTCAAAATTCTCACCTTTGAGATCAATACCAAATTTGAATGTCTGATTTTTTTTTTTGTTTGTTTGGGGGAAAGTTACAGATGTGTAAGAGGTGTGTTGCAATGTGCTATGACTCCACTAGATGACAGCCAGTTCAGCGAACAACTGATCCCACTGTTCCGCGGGAATCCGGTCCCTCGTGAGGTGGGGCTCACTGCTTCCCTCCTTTCTCCCTGGGTCAGTGCTGCTGTTCCGGATTCTTGACTCCCACCAACTCTAAAATGACACTGCTGCTTTCCCACAGCCCCTTTTTCCTCCAGGAGCTTGGTATTTGATACTCCTCATTTGAACCTCCTCAAGAGGTTTATCGGTACCCACAATCCACAGTAAACTGTGCTCTGCATCACCTTTAATATTGTCAGGCTTTGCATAGTTGAGAACTTAGTTCAAGAAACCATTCCTGGATGCTTAAGCTGCAGTTACGTTTATATTTCATTGTTGCTGTTGGGTTTTTTTTTTCATTAGATACAGTCTAAGCATACTCACATGGTTAAAAATACTGAACAAAACAGATAAAAAGTAATTGCTAGGAAGAAGTTCTTTCTTTTTGCATACTTACAGAACCTCATGTGTTTAATGTTTTACTTATGTCATCTGTATTTTTGCTATATTGATTCTGTTTAACTTTCATGCTTTTGCTTGGATCAGCTGGTATAGCATGTAGCAGACTCCAACAATGAAAGAATAGTTATTTATTTACTTGTTTTTAATTTTCTGGTTTGTTTTTTGCAGGATAAGAAAGCTATATCAAATTTAAAAGTGAAGATTTAATTAGAACTCCACTTTTGATAGCTGCATGATTTCTTAGTGAATTACAATCCTTATTTTCCATTTTATCAGATATTGGTATTGTATGCAAAGGATATTCAGTATTTAATGCAAAAGATAAAAAAAGCCCTAGAACTCATAGAAGTTCTATAAAGTGATATAAAATAGATTTTAAGCCAAAGTATTATCAGATGCACTTTTAGGCTAAGGTGAGAGAGAGATTTCAAAGAAAGAGGAATTAAATCAGAAGTATTTACAGGAGAGGCTGTAGAAGAAATGCATTTTTCTAACTTTTGTATTTGGAATTTATCACAGAATAATCACAAATAGCTGCAGGTACCTACAGGGTATAAACTTAGTCTGCCTGGCCAGGATTAATTTTACCTATTTGCTATAATTGTAAGGAAGAAATAATGTGACTTCACTTCTTAGGAAAATAGGGCCACCTTTATTTGTAATTTGTTTGTTTTTCTTTTAGAGGTGCATTTCTGAACTGCTTCCTTGAACCTTCTTTGTTCTCAAGGTGTGTCTAGGGTGCAGTAGGGAGGCAAATTATGTTTTGTTTGTTTCCTCCTCTGTACTTTAGCATTGCAAATCACACAATGGTTTGGATTTCAGGGATTTTTTTGTCACACCACTAGAAATTTTCTGAGGAAATTAAGTTCCTCATGGAAACCATTTGAAATGGGAAGTGGCAAATCTTACCATTCAAATTCTTCTTATCTTAGCCATATCTAATTAGAATTCCAGCAGATAAAGTCTGTGTGTGGCTCAGGGTGGTTCTATCCCAAATAGCAGAGTTGAAAACAAGGGAAAACAGCAGAACTTGTGACATAAAATGTTGAGCTGTTTAGGTCTATGGTGTGCACTCTCATTTCCCAAAGTGGTGAGGTTGTACTGTCTAATCAAACAATCCATTCTGATTCACATGTGCATGATAATGTCCTCTTGTACATGATGTAGTTTTAAATTCAATTATCATTTAATGTTGACGTGGTTTTGTTGTTTAAAGACGCATCCATTCATGCTGAAGCACAGGCTCTGCCCAGTTAAAGCAGAAGGTCTACTTTACCATTAGGGAAAAAGCATAAAAATATAAAATTCTAGGGGATGGAAAGAGAATCACTGTGTGATCAAATAAATCCATGGTGCTCCTCTTATTAATATTATCTGTAGGTCTCGTCCCTTCTCTCTGAAGACGATATGATAGAACTGAAAAAGTTTTGGAGAAGGGTGATAATGACAGTGGAAGGCAGAGAAGAGCTTTCATGCCAGTGACAGTAGGTGGATTGTCTGCTTCAGCCTAGAAAAAGGATTGTCAAATGATGATTCAACATTAGGAAGAAACCCAGTGGCATAGAAAAGTTGTGATTATTCAGTGACTCATGCAGTAAAAGAACTAGGTGAGATCAAGAAGACAGATTCAAAAGCAACAAGAAGCACAGGTTACTCATGTCATGCCAAGTGACATAAATGATAAAATGAAAGTCTCCATTTCCCTGTATTTTACCAATACTGAACGTTTTGTATGAGTTCAAGGAGAAAGGGGATGGATTCAGAGAAGCATCACCACACTATAGCTGGTGGGTACTTCTGTCCCTCTCCAGGCATTCAGTTGTAGGCTGGAGGTGTGCAGAGATAGTTGATTCATCTTCACACATGGACCTGCATCTCTTTATGGTCAGAATAAAATTTTACTACTTTTTGCATCTGTCACTCTGAAAAGAATCAATTCAACTGAGTGTTACCTGCTTGGATTCTGCAATGATTTGCGTGTGAACATTGCTGTTTGCTAGAGAGAGACAGAAGTAAAGATACTGAAATTAGTTTAGGGAATATGAGTTCAGGCTTTTATTATTGTTGCTGTCCTGAAGCTGTTCCACAAGACAATTCTCAGCCTGATTTGACCCAGGTTCCAAAACAGCCTTGTAATTCCCATTCTCTGTAATTCTGTGTCTTGGATCAAGGCTGTGATATTATTTGCAGTTCTACAGTTTGAAAACATCCATACTTGTTGGGTTATTCTGTGAAGTTGGAAAAAAAGTCAACTTTCATTCCTAATTCAATTAGACAGTTTAGTTACCAGATACTACAAAGACACAAATTTTCCACATTGCTTTTTGAAGTTTATAGATAAAATTTTATATAAGCTGAATTATATATTTAGTAATGTAGTAGGTAATGAAAGTATGCTAAACTTATTTTAATGTCTCATAAACCTACGTATATTTTGTTTATGTCTGCCCCCTCTTAAAACCACGTGGAGACAAGGGCTTGTCACACTAGCTGAGGCTGTCTAATCGTTTTTCTCTGTCTCAGATTTCTATTGTTGTGTCTTAACATAAAACTGTAAACTTTTCAGATTCAAAAGATTTTTTTTGTTCTCACCCTCCCAAGCAAACTGGATTCTTGGTGAGGACTCTTTTGTACTACTGTACTGGGATGAGGTATATTTTTGACTAACGTCGACTGTATGTTTCAGATACAAGTATTGACAAATATGCCTACACCCATGAAACTCTAACATTTTGGCATTGTTCTATGTAGAGTTTCTGCCACAGTGCTTTTCCGTCTGTCTAAATTCTAAGTTGAGAGGAACAAATAATGCAACAGTAGCCATAAACACAAAATGCATATGCTAAAATATTCAGCAGTTCTTTACAGATGAAAAATCACTCACTATTTATAAATGTGTATACATGTTTATGTACAGTAACTCAGAGTTTATTTCTTGGCCTCTGCGATGTTTACAGTTATTTCACAATGTTTTGACTCCTCCAAGAGGGATCATGAAATTGCTTTTTTTCCATAAGCAAATACAGACACTGAAATCTCTCTAAAAGACAAAATGTGCCTGAAGGAATTCCAAACAGTACTGAAGAAAGTAATAAACCTTCCAGTTTAACTTTCACTACCCTTATAGACAAGTGACTTTCAAAAGGTGAATACAAACAACGCAACATTTTTGTATCCATTTTCCCAATACAATTAAAAAAAATAAATTATATTTTTCTTAACTGTCAGCTTTCTGGCTGTGGAATGCTAAATTGCACTGTCTGTTTAATTGGAAAGATCTGGTATATATTATTGAAATAGTCTCAAAATTTTTTCTTAATTTTTTTACAGTTTTAATTTTGGTTGTGCTTGATTAGTCCTTGATAGTAAGATGCACTCTTTTAAAAAAGAGGAAGGTCTCCCCTATGTTATGTGAAAGGCTGAATGATTTCAAGACTGCCTAATTTGAAGCAGATTCTGCATCTTTGGCAGCTGATATGGGTTTCATAATGATGTGGTTCCATAGCAGAATACAATGTCCTCTGCATAATAGCTAATGTATAAAGACCTGGTGTCAGGTGAACATTTGCATGCAAGAGTTGACAATCTTTCTCCCAAAATTTTGCACTAAAATCCTGTGATACTGATCTGTCCATTCCTGTCATCTACAAACAACTTCAGTGAACTTGTGAAGGATTTCTTGAATTCCTCCCTCTCCACTCCATCTCCACTTTGAGCTGTGCTTTGCACTACAAATACTCAATGCCTCCCATATCTCACTGTGATGACAAGATTTCTGTGTGCCTCACAAGTCCTTCTTCCCCTCTCTTCCCTCTGTAAGATGCTTATTGCCTCTGTTGGATCATCCCGTCCCTTATATCTTTCTCCTGAAGTGTTTTTGTCACCTTTCTTGCTTCTTCATGCAAAAGGTTGGTATTTTAAAACTCTTCGGATATACAGAATTCTTAAGATGCTGTTATGCCAGAAGATGGGTTTTTCAGATATTAAGTCACGTTTGATGTAATGATGAGGACCAACTTGATGGACATTGCTGTCTTATCAGGATACCAGGAGCATTGTATCCCCCTGTATTCCACCTCCTATTTCCCTCACCCACCTTGGCATTTTCACACACCTCAGAGAATTCTGATGACTGAAGCTTGGGAACATAATTCTCAAGTGCTGCACCAATATCGTAAACACAAAGGGAAATTATATAAACTTTATGGCATTAAGTTTCGTCTTGCTGAGAAGTACTGAATGCCCTTGATCTATTTCTAATGCAAGTATCCTAGAGATTTCTATTCCTAAATGACAGATATGAATATGGGATTTTCTATAATATAAATACAGCAAAATTATGTTTTCCAACAGCTCTGCTCGTTCCAAACTTCTTTAATTTCTCTCTCTGTGCGTTTATTAAAAGACTGTGTTACCTAACTGGAATTAGAGCTTTCTTCAGGATATTTTAAAAGTACTCCAGAGGATGATAGAGTGATAGTGCAGCAGCTTGCATGAAGTCTTTAATGAAGTTGTAACTGCAGACTTACCTAATTTACTCACATTATGACTTCTATGGTTTGAATGTGGGTCTGACATGTTCACATAGTGGTTTTTACACTACATATTTATCTTTCACAATCATATATATCCCTGGATCTAATGAACTGTACTGGTATTTTTGTTACTTTCTAGAGCTTTAAACAATGAGTCAGGCTGATGAAGGAAATCTCACTGACACAGAACTGGCACCTGAGAATGAGTCACCTACCTGTGTGCCACCTCCAGCAGCTCCTAGCCAGGAAGAGGGATCCGCTGACATAACAGCAAGTCCTGCATTTCAGTGTTTAGATGAGGTACCATGTGCCCCAGCTTTCTCTGACTGTAACAGTGCAAAGTAATTATTCTGAGGTGTACCTTTTGGTGTTAATAGTTGAAGGTTGTTACCACAATCTATATCTTCCCCATTTCTTTGATTTTTCTTAGTGGTAAGAAAATTTTGTGAAGCAGTGTCATATTTTTGCTGGGGATGCTGTGCTTGATAGATAATCATGTTCTCTTTGTCAGTGATCATGGCCTTAAGGGGAATGAGAATACAGAGGTCTTGGTTTTGGTCTTGTAGTATTCTATTTGTAGAGATAATTGCATCATGATTTTTTAAAAGGCTTCATAGCTGCAGGTAAGTGGTTCCTGAGGCACTATTAATTGATGATGGTGATTGAAGAAACCTTTCAGAGTTCAGGTTTTTTTGTGATTTTTTTTGGTGTTAAGGAGTCTTTCGGAATGCTAGAAGTATTTAAAAATTTTAAATATCAAATATATATGAAATGGAATCCTTAAAAATGTAAGGCCAGAAGAGTCATTAAGAGATAATTTAATCCAAAATTGGCAATGAGGTAGATTCTCTGCAGATATTTGTCTAATTTGTTCTTAAATCTTTAATAGGTGGAGATAGCTCTTTGGATATCCTTTTCCAGCAGCTCATCATTGCCAGTATTTTATAAAAAGTTTTCCCTATATCCCAGTTTGTTTACTTTGTAGTGAATAATGCAGCTTTCTTCTTGCCTTTCCCACATTAAAAAGAGAGACCAGCCAATTTCTGCCTTTTTTATAATAAAAATGTACATCTCTCTCTTGTATCCTTATGAGGCTTTGTTCATACTTAATGTTTTTCTTGAAGTTCTTACCTAAAGTTGCTTTACCTTGGACTCTTTCCATCTTGGTTCTGTCAGATCAGTTTGCTACCCTGGCTCTCACTCTCTGCCTACAGTCTAAGGTCAGGAAAGAGGACAGGACAAGAATTTGTAGTGAAGGGGAAAATAGGACTAGCCCTTTCCTATCCTGCTATTAGATCATACTGAATGTAGCTTGAAACTGCTGCTTTCAGTCCAGTGCCAGTGTATGGAGAGCCCACAACTTCCAGTACTGTTGCAGCACAAATCCCCTTTGTTCTCAGTCCAAGGCAGCAGCTAAAGTGCCCCCATGCCCCTTCTAAACTGTATTCTACATTTCTGCTTTGTTTTCCTTATTTTTAATAATAGTGAAAACTAATTTTTCTAGACTTATTCTAGAAAATTATTAGATTATTTTCCTGATTTTTTTTTCTCAAAAAAAAAATCTTTCCAGAAAGGTTGTTCTGCATATCAAATTTAAAGTTAACTTGTTTAACACTGATATAACACTGTAAACCATTAATGGCAAATACAGGAAAAACCTAGTATTTAGAGTTGTTCCCAGCTCATGAAAAAACGTGCTGTGGAAAAACAAAGTAAGCAATTTGCGTAGTATTTCATAAATTAGGTCTTCTGGTCATTTTGTCAGTTTCTAGAAGAGAACTATGACTCATTTATTTTACCGTTGTTTTTAGCAGTTTGCACTTGTACTTTACTGGTGAGTTTGGCTTTTCATCACTTATTCACATTTCTTCTCTTCCACTGACGTATTTGTTTTCTTTTGTTGAACTTTGTACATAATTCAGGGACAAATATATGACTTCAGTCACCATAGAGGTTCTTGCATTGATTCTGGCTTCAACTACTTGGAATGGCTTTTAGGATTTTTCCACAGAAGCAGAATTGTGTCATATTATCTCAGTTTCACTGACTAGTCATTTATGCCTGTGCAGCATGTACTTATCGCAAGGGCCACCTTTTGTTGTAAAATTTCTTTAAAAACAGGTATGTGCCTGCTTCCAGTCAAGCCAGTCTTGTTTTTCTCATGTAAGCAGCAAAAACTCAAACATGCAAAGAGCAAGAAGTCAAACATGCACACTCTCTCTCCTTTGTTTTTAATAAAACATAGTAACATTGCTTAGCTTTGTGGGTTAGGTAGAAATATTAAAAACTAGACAGAGTTCAAACAAAAGCCACCCAATTCATCATGACTTATTTTCACCAAGTCCTCTATTTATTACCAAGCTGACATCTCCGTTCTGTTGCTTAGGGTACAGCCATGCATTCACAAAATGAACTTTCCACTTGTTTTTGCCTTTGTTGTTATGTCCTTGAAATAAAGATCTTTGCTCTAACACTTCTAATTGACTTCCTTGAATTGTGAATCTTTCCTCATGTCTTGTGTTCTTCTAGTGTTAGAAATAAATCAATCTGCATCTGTTAATAATTTTCATGGAAAACTACATAGTCTAGTACCTGTGTGATGAAAGAAATATATTACTTGAATAAATGCTACATTAAGATGCAAAAAATTATGCTGGCTTTATTTTGATTTTAGTGCATTATAGGCCATGTATATTTAATCTGATTCTTAAATGGCAGCAAATTTTTTCATATATGTACATTGTATAAGTTTAAAGACACATTAATTTTATTAAATGGATATTTAGTAGTAATTAGCTTCAACAAAATGATCTGAAATTGTATTCACCCTTTGCCTGAAAATTTATAATTCTTTTGGAGCAGATGATAATATAATATATTTATCCTCTCCCTTTATTCTTTTATCATCCTTACTACAACAATGCTGTTACTGGTAAAGCACCAGAGGACAAACGGAAACTGTCACTTGAATAGAAAAAACAATCAGATATGACATGAAACTAGATTAAATGCTCAAAAAGACAAGATTATGCAGAATGAAAATAAAAAAGAAATCAGTTAAAAAATTGCCTCCTGCCCCTTCTATTCATTTTTGTCTGCATAATTTTTGTGCTTCACCATATTGCACAGTAAAATTTTTTCCCCTCTGGCCACTCAAGTTGTGTTTTACTTTCCTCCACCTGGTCTAGTTTTAATGGGAACATAAATAAATAAAACATAATTTGTCATAATTTGTTTTTGATGTTTAGTTTTGTAACCTATTACCATTTTCAAATAATTTTCTGTTGCTTAAGTTTTGTTTTGTAGCCGAAATCACAATCCCAGACACAAAAAAAAGACTCCTACTCTGTATATCTTCCTAATCTGATAGTGAATCAAACAAAAAAACTCCCAAGAGAAATCAATCGGTGGCTATCTTCTCCCAGTCTGAGGTGTTTTTACTCAAGGCAGTGTCTTTTGCTTTTTGTTTCTCTTCCTTTTTTTGGTATGTTCTTAGTCTAGAAAGGCAGTTCAGTCAAATGTGTACATTTGATATGAAGAATTTTGCAGAAAAATGATTCTGCAACGTTTGTCTTGCGTGTATTTGCAGTGGACACTCTGAGGCAGCTATTAGTTCTGCAGAATAGTGCACTTGTGAGTGAAAAGTGCTTTGCTGTTTTCCAGATCCAGTGAGCAGATACCTTGTTTGGAATGTACCACAATAGTCCCTTCCTGCTAACAAACATAATCCATTTTCTTGCTAAATCTAAACATGCAGAAGAATAAGCTCCTTTGGGAGATTTGTCTGACTGGTCTATTGCAAACTGTTGCACTCTATATCCTGTAAAACGGTTGGTGCTCCCTATCTACCAGCACCAAATCTTTCATTTGTTCTGCTTTTTTTTGATGGAAATTGTCACTGTCATGCTACATTTCTTCCTCTCTGATGTCCAAGTGTCCTATTACCATCAAGAAGCAGAAAGAACCTTTCATGGATGTTTTTCATTACTAGTTTGAAACTCAGTCTTTCTGAGATTAGTGAATTTGTACTACTAACTGCCAAAAGCAGTTGAACTGCTAATAAAGATGCTAACTAAAATCTCAGTTCTAGTGGAAACACAGAGCAAAATCTCAATATTTACCAAAAAATCAACAGTATAACAAAGAATTCCCAAGCAAATTTTGCTTCTGATTATCTGATGCTGATTCATGTCTTTCTGCTATCTGTAAGAACTTTAATGTCAAAGAATGATGCATATGTTCAGTGTTTGAATGTTGTTTGAGGGGAGAAAGGTACTTCTCATTTTTCTCCTTATCTGTGCTGCAGGAAAGAAGAGGAAGTCACATAAAGGTTGGCTACAGCTTTCAAATGTAAACACTAAGAATCAATATTTCATATAATTCTTCAGTGGCATGAAGTCATCTAACACCACAATTCTACAAATTACAGTTGTTTGCAATTTCTTTTGGTAACAAGCTGGTCTTTAATTCTCTCCTAACTTAGGTTAAATGGTGGATGTAAATAGCTTTCCTTTTAAAAAAATAAAGAGTTTATTAATTATTAAATGAAAAGTTTTCTAGAAAAACTACCTTGGTAGATTAGGATATAATTTTTTTTTTTACATAAGAACCAATTTAATTTCTGTCCCTGTACACATTCTGTAGTGTGCTTTCTTTTAGTATAAAGTATGATCATCACAATATTTTTGCATGATAACTATAGCAGTGCATAATTTTTAAGTGTTTTAGTATGTGCTCTATCAAAGATATAAAAGTCTTGAGACAGCTTAGTATGTTGAAGGCAAACAACATTTTTAAACTTAAGCTGATCCTGGCATGCTCCACACTACGCGCTTCAAAGGCTCCTGGCCCCACAAAAAAGCGTATAAATATGTTGGCACAGGCAGCTAAGACAGATGTTGTCTCCACCTCCATGCACAGGAATTTGACTGCTAATTAGAAAAACCTTTTTTGACTTTGTTGAATGGTCACATGGGAAGTCAGCTGGGGCTGATAATGTGTCTGTAAGCTGGAGTATGGTTTTGTGCAACAGCTTCCAGCAAGTAGGAAATAGTTTGTATTGTGAATGTTAAAGCAAATTGTTGCAATAGGAAAATTGATTGTTCCTAAAAAACCTGTAGAGGAATTGGGTGAATTTACAGGTGCCTTCAATCAGCAGGATTGGGAACAGAGCTGGTGTAACATGCTCATTCTGTGGAGAAGTTCTTTTTACCACTAGCAGGTGACATTGTGGAAACAAGGCCAGGAAGTGGTTGGGTGTGTTTGAACTATCACAAAGCAGAGGGTATTTCTGTTGATTT